CCCCCCCCCCCCCCCCCCCCCCCCCACCCCCCCCCCCCCCCCCCCCCCCCCCCCCCCCCCCCCCCCCCCCCCCCCCCCCCCCCCCCCCCCCCCCCCCCCCCCCCCCCCCCCCCCCCCCCCCCCCCCCCCCCCCCCCCCCCCCCCCCCCCCCCCCCCCCCCCCCGCTTATTCAGCGGCTGGCTGAGTCGTTGCGAAATTTTCGGACCGATTTATAAATGTTAAAACCCCCCCTTGAAAAAATCCTGCGTACGCGCCTGTGAAAAACAATACTCTAAACATAAAAACTTAGGAACTTAATTTATTTCAGATAATTCCATTACAATGAACAAGGATTGTAAATTTAATCTAAGTAAGTTATTTGACTGAGAGTCAGTTTTAAGATAAAACTTCAGCTTGTCATAATAACCTGCCTTTATTACACTACAATATCAGAAGCTTGCAGAAAAAACTTGGACCAATTAGAATTGTTAATAAACAGACTAAAATCCGACTGTTCTATCATCGGCTCGAGCGAGACTTGGCTTCAAGATTCACTTGTTCCAATATTTTCCTTGAAAGTTTATGATATGCTGGTTAATAATAGAACCAATAAAAGGGGAGGTGGGGTTGCCATGTATATATCCAATAACTTAAAATTTAAACTACTTGAACACTTCGACGTAAAGTCCGAAGTCAAAGTCACTCTCTCACACAACGAAATGATTTTATTTATTAATGCAAGAAGTCAAGAATGTTATGGGGCTGTTCTGGTACCGTTTGGTCCTGAGATGAACTGTGTACTTTCTGCTTGTACGGAGATTCATGGTATGAGTTGTACAATTGACTGGGAACAATTTTTGCGACTGCACACATGCGACGGCAAATTTTGTACTAAGGTTATGTCTTCTTTCTTCTAAAGTTTCCATCGTGGTTTTCTTGAGAGCATTTTCGTAGGACTCATAATAAGGGCCAAGAACAATCTCATCGCTCTCTTCTGTATCTTTCCCAGGTCACTGGTCTGTTGCTTGGTGAGTCCAGAGTGCCACACCGGTGCCGCGTAATCAAGAGATGGCCGCACGTACACAGCTACAAAGTTTTCATGAGGGATTCCGAACTTGTTCAATCTAGTCAAAATGTGTACTGTTTGCTTGCTCTTTGACATCATCTCTGTCTATAGAACCTACTTTCCCCATTTCAGGTCATCTCAAATCCAGACATTACAGATCATTTTACTTTATTTGCAAATATTCCCACCCTAAATGCTGGTAATTCAAACAATATAGTTTGCAACTGGCAGTCGTAAACTAACCCCAAAAAACGTGAATAAACTTAAGTCTTCCCTAAATACGACTGTAACAGTAAGCTTTTCAAACTTGACGATCTATTTATTACAATGTAGGTATTATTATGTTTCAATCGTCAACAATTGAACTTCCTGATGCTTTGATGTCAATATTCACTAGTACACTTCAATCTTACCCCCACTAGACAAATGAAATGCTACATTTACCTCTTACAAGAACGTTTTTTTCCAATAATACTTTGATGTTTACCGGATCTAAATTCTGGAATAAACTTGATACCTACCTTAAAGAATCATCTTCTTTGTATTCATTAAAACGCCATCTCAATTTTTTTTTTTTTTTTACACCAATACAGATCGTGATTGTATGTATCATGCATGTTGTTTTCGGTGAGCCGTCGGACTTGCGGATTCATTCATCAGGGTCCGGCTTTTTTTATTTTTTTCGGGGGGGGGGGTTCATATTTGCATATGACAAGCCTAGAGCTTGCCCGGCGTAGCAACAATGCATTGGGCATGAAGTTTGGCGGGAGGTGCTCGGGCCTTGCACGGGCGGGCGAGTTTGCCTGTCCGGGGGCTCCCTTGGAGCGGGCATGCGTATAGTAGGTTCGAGTAAATTGATTATGTAAATGCTCTTTAATGAAATCATCCATGTATATGTTATGGAATCTGTATGTTATTAAGGTTTTGTCTCTTTTTTTTCTGGTTACATAAATTGCTTTTTTTTTCTTTCTTATAGGCTATATATTTTCTATATATAATTTGTATAGAATTTAAAACTCTGGCCTATGATATTTTTATTGCAATAACCTTTTCTTTTAACTTTTTATACGGAACCTATTCTTTACAAGCTTTGCTATTTATTAGGTTTCGTCATATATTTCAACATCAAATAAACATATTCGTCTTCCTGTAAAAGCTGATAAATGACTCCATCAATAAGTTATAATTTGTAACATGTATCTAATTTCCTCTTGTATGATTATTATCTACAAAGATTTGTTTTATATTGTAATATTCGCAATATGTGAAATATGGAAAACAATAAATTGAAACCGAAAACTGAAACTATTATTTTAACTATATTGAAAGTAACAGAATAAATAATCATAATCATTCATCACGCTCATCACTTCTTCGTCTTTCATTCATTATCACTATATCACTATGAAGGCCACAATGTACATGTGAACATAAGCGGGTCCGCATGGGGGGAAAAGGGTAGCCCCTCATTTAAAATAAAAGGTCACAAAGTCGCAATATATTACGATGTACAGATTTCTTACTGTCAGAGTTTGAAGACATTTGCCATTGCTCCCTTGAAGACCGCGAAATATATATAGATATAAATTGCAATCGGAATACAAAACGCATGACAGCCCACTACCCTCCCCCTCATCTTCTAGTAATCCTGGATCCGCCTTCTCATGTATATCTCTATAGACACCCTTTTGGACTCTTAACTCTCGCATCCCCTCTAGTTTATGCTCACCATACAATGTAAATCATATGTACTAACGGAAAAAATACAAAATTACACATTTTTTTCAGAAATCACAATTTCTTTTAATCTCTCCAATGTGTCATACAAAAACAAAACTAATACGATTTCACTACTTTAGGAATACACAAAAAATGTATTTATAGAAAAATATGAGCCTAAGAGAAACACTAAGTTTTTACAAATAATCTACACGTTCTCATTCTATGGAATGGTGAAATTTCGTTACTTTTTGTGTGGAGCGTACTTTTTCACTGTACAAGGTGATTGTATTACTATTTATTATTTCGCAGTCTTTAAAAGTATATCACAAAACTTGATGCTTTATCCTTTATCACGTATTCTCAGGATGGATAGACGGGCTCAAATAGCTTCACCGCACAAGCCTTCTTAATCATGCAGTTTATGATAGATTATACTTTTGAAGTTTGACCGGCGATAATCCTGATTAAATATGACAAGTTTGTATGATTATGAAAAGCGCGAATTCATTTAGGGCAAACAGCATTGTAGCAGAGTGACAACAGACAATACATTATTACAACTGTAACGTTTTAGAAGCAATTTTCCTTGCAGGCAGAGTATGCAAGGAGAATAAAAACCTAGTGAAAATATACATTTTCCCCCTCATAATTACTGAGACATAGTATAAGAATATGAAAAAACTAGATACTATTTCTTGAAAGACTTTTATACAATCTATCCTAATGTTGCGTTTCAGCTCGAGAGATATGCCTCACAAAGAAAATTTGCCTATCATAAAAGAGTAATAAAAAGACACAATGTACTTAGATAAATGATTTATGCATACAAAACTATATACAAGATTCAGAGTGAACATTTTCTCCTGATGGTATTTACCAGATGTTGTGAGTTACATCCATCATAATCATTCGTTTAAAAAAAGACACTATTAAATGCAGCTGATACGATTATTTATTATTGAATCATTTGATTTCACAAAGACGTTTCTTATCTCAATATACATGATATTCACATCTTTCGAAGACACCCATGAAATACAATTATCGGTATTGGGTATTTCCAAAATCGTAATGACACACTCATCTTTTTCACCAATTCTGATCATTTCAATTAATGTGTAGTTTACAATATTTCATTATAATTCAAGTTGATAATAACTATCTCTGAGCCTTATAATTAAAAGAAACCAAAGTTGTGATAATTCTGATGGCATTCTCATTCAAGATTGTACATTTACGAGTTGTTGCATTCATGGGTGAGTTTACTGCCATAAAAAGTTCGATAAAATCGTTAAATTATGTACCAAGTTCTCCCCAAGTGTGTCCTTAGGTGTGTAAATCCAATTTAGATTCAATTAGTATACAATAGTCTCTAGGTGTGTAAATCCAATTTAGTTTCAATTAGTAATACAAATAAGTTTTGTTAATGCTCTCGATAATTTACAGGATATGCCAATGACGGACATAAAGGTAATCAAAAAACATACGGTGTATCAAAATGCACGATATAACACTTCCAATTATTTTTAGGTAAAACAGATTAATGAATTTGATTCAACCCGAGTATATCAGGATACATAATTATTAAGTAATTTTTTTAAAAGAAATATAACCCAGTGTGCATATTATTTACTAAAGCCTCTTACATACTCCTACCAGCCTCAATGTTGTATTACTTTATTTCGTTGCAGTAGTTCGTCAGTAGGCCTACACATCAGTAGGCCACATGACAATAATTCAGCAATCTTTTTTGAAGGTTTGGTGTTCATGTGTACGTTTTATTTCTACACGAGAGATAGGATAGGTTGACAAGCTAATGAATTTTCGAGCAATGCTTAATATTTTCAAGCAGGTGGTTGCATTAATAGTAGTTAGATGAAGATTGCATCATTTCCGTTTCATCCCTGCTTTCTGATACTCCCATGATTAAAAGGCCAGTGTGGATTGACTGGTTTGACCATGGTCCTCGGTTGGATGGTCCATTGCTGTATGGATGGTTAGGATCTCATGAGAAGACCAAGGTGACTTATATTGTTGGTTAACATTAAAGAACAGGAGAAGAAGGCTGAGCGATTATTCACGTGCCATAGCCTGGCCACCATTGTCCCATTCCTGTAGTAGAGATGGGTGGAAGGTGGGAGAATGGGAACAGAGGGAGAATGCACAAAGAGAAAGGGAGAGAAAGAGAGAGAGAGAGAGGAGGGGGAGAACAATGAGATAAAATTAAAATTATTTTAAAAGACAGTATACACGTAAATCCCCTGTCCTCAATGGAGAATCCGGCCCTAAATAAGTGAGCTTTAATAGCAAGAGAGTCACGTTTGTTCAGCGACATGGACAGTTTGAAAACACAATCTGACAAAGAGATATTGGAAACTCCATAGTGTCTCTCCTTCATTTCATTACTGTTTGATACGTATTAATACCCATATCATCCTCCGTGGTATTGAAATAGTCGTGCCCAAAGGATATTGCAATGTTTTTTTTAATTGCATTTATGCACCTTCTTAAAATAAATATTTTCTTTTTTCGCAAACCCAAGGAAGATAAATACTTTGATTTGTTTCAATTTTCATAGATAAATTTACAAACAGATTTGTCCACAATTACCTTAATAATTTTTCCAGTGTAAAAAGATGTTGTGATGATTATTATATCTCTTCATTACAAGAGCTCATGATTTCTTTTAAAATGATATTGTGTATATATTATACAATCCAAGAATCTTTCCTGCTCCGATTTATTTCTGGAGACTTTAACCCGTTGGCTACTGAATGTTATAGATCCCATAGGCTTAACACAGGGACCACCAGATTCCCGTAAGCAAAGGATTAATAGTAAAAGAGATTTCTCGTACTCACCTGGCTTTCTTGGACCAAGGCACACAAGGTGCAGAACCAGATACACAGCAGATCGTTGATACACGAACCCTGGGTACAAAGATGAATATAAAAATGAAAGAAATTAGTAATTAGTTATTCTTTTTTCATTGAAATTTGTTTTAAATACAGTCAAACCTGATTAAGTGACCACCTGTCTACAAAGAACACCTGTCTACAAAGGTCACATTTGTTGTTTCTCTTGAAAATGGTTTCTCATTGAAACATGTGCTAAAGAAATCTGTCTACAAAGACCACCTGTCTACAAAGGCCACTTTTTGTGTTTACCTTGGGTGGTCGCTATAGACAGGTTTGACTGTACATGTATATTAGACATCTTATCAGAAACAAATACACATACACACACGCTTCATCCTTCAATCCGCATACACCCTTTATGGAAGAAATCTTATCCTCCCCTGCACCCTTATAAAGAAGCGTGAAGTACACGCAACAACCAACAACAACACAAAAGTCACAACAAAAATAACGAAAACATTAACAATACAACAACAAAATGAAAATAGAATATGACACAACTGGGTTATACAATAGGCCTGTTTACTAATGATATGCGAGTGACGTCATAATCCCTCGCACCCTAGCGATTGTTACTACGTAGGCAAGCTTTGCGTGGTGCGGCACGGTCGCCACATTGTTTTTCCATGCCCGCTACGCTATACACATACAAAGCCATTGCTAGCGACGCGACGCGACGTTTTTTTCACCCTAATTTCTACATGGCATCGCCTTCGACATCGAGTTGTAGTTCCAGCAAGCCGTTTTCGCAGTGGACAGTGAAGGAGCTCACCGATTATTTAAGAAAGAGAGGAGTTACGACATCAGGGTACAACAAACAGAAACTAGTTCACTTGCGACTGCTGTGGCCGATATCGCTTTGCCCCAAGACCCGGACCTTGCGAGCTTCGACTCCGCACGGTCGCTGCGGGAGAAGTTGGAGCGTGCGGGGTGCTCGTTCGACGACGACCCAATGAAATCACCGGCTACACCGAGAACTTTGAAAGTATACCAGATTTCGGATTATACGACATTTTCAACTACCTGATAGTAAATAGAACTGACTACGACAGAAAGAAACTCAAAGCATATAAATCGTTTGAGGACTATCGTCTATTTGCTGACGGGAATGTGGAGCAAATGAAGTTCAATGAAGTCCATTCATATGGGGTCTGTCTGCGTACCGTGAATCGCTGTTACACGTGCCGTAACAGCAATGCTTACCTCCCATTTTTGCGATATTTCGTCGGATTTCGGAAATAATCGAAGATTTGTCATGTACAACTGAGAAAAACTATATTATTTTAATTATATACCCTAAGGTTGGAAACAAACAGTTTTAAACGAAGTTTATTAGGACGATGATCAGCCTTTTTTTCCTCGCATTCCCCACATCGCGGTATACAAAGTGTGTGTAGCAGGGCCGTAGCAGACACTGCGCTCGGTTTGTTTGCCAGAGCTTACAACCGTGTGCAAATTTAAAGGTCCGTGAATACATTAGTAAACAGGCCTATTAAGTTGCTTCGTAATATTTCACACTTTTTTGTCTTAGGTTTGACATGTTTAAATAGATGAATAAAATAGGAAAGAACAAAGCCACTGAATGGGTTGTGTAAAGCGTGTATTATCTACTTGTTATACTCTCTATCCCCTCTTCTTTCCTCTCTCTCTCTCTCTTTCTCTTTTCTCTCTCTCTCTCTCTCTCACACACACACACACACACACACATACCCACACATACCCACACATACTGTTTTGAGAGCATGATGCTGGTAAAACCTTAATTTCTTTCTTTTTTACTCTCTTTTTTCTTTCCATGAGAAGGAATTTAGCCTTGTTCATTTTCAAATATTATACAATGACAGACTTCGCATTCAAACATCCATGACCGAATCAGAAAGAAAACATGATGCCATAATCCAGTCGGGATCCAGTGGGTAAAAGAGCACAAGTACCCCCCCCCCCCCCCCACCTCCACCCCTTCTTCTAATCCAAAAATCTGATATGATTTAATATAAAGTGTGCACCCCTGGCCAGTTCTTTTGTGGTTGTCGGATATTTCGAACTATACTCGAGCCCCCCCCCCCCCCCCCCCCTCCCCCCAATCTTCCTCCTCGGGAAGATAATGCTTGGTTCGCCTAATCCATGTTCAAGCATAGCATAACATGCTTTGTTTCCCTCAATTCTATACCAGTCTGCATCAGGTGGAAGTGGGAGTGTCAGGATCTGTATTGACCCCAATATCAAAATCATCTGAACCGATCATAAAAGGCTTTTATTAGCCCCTAAAGCAAAGTCAAATAGGTCTATAAATTCACTGGGTTCATAACAGGGAACGAAGACAATAGCTTCCTTTAACAATTACTTTTCCCAACTTCCGCAAATTTCGATAGAACATAGGTAATTTGAAGGAGTAGTCTACATTACCTTAGATAAGAATGAAACAGGAAATATTTTTCGATAGAACATCAGCAGTTAGAAGGGTAGTTTACTAGCTTATATTACCTTTGATAATAGTGAAACAGGAAACAATGATAATATTGATCAATTATTCTGAAAATGTATAACAAATCAAAATGGGGATGGAAGAGCTATGAATTTTTAAATTAATGTCAATCCATCGCACATTATCAAGTTCATGTTTTTACATGATCCTCCCCTTAAACGTGTTGAATAAGTGATAAAGGCTTTTATATTTTCATCATGTTTCCTTGTTTCTATCATTGTAATGACTACAAGGAAGTAAATTGAAGGAAATGGATTTTGAAGATTTTCAGCATCAAGTTTCCGTTTAGTCGGTGTGTTTTTATATGCTAAATAACTTTGCAAAAGAGCACCACTTAGAAATACTTGTACATGCCACAATACATGAGTTATGAGGAGAAGTCCCATGCAACACTTATATCCTACTCAAGTTATTTTCTCCATCGCATTTCATCAAGTCATCATTATTCCAACCTTGATTTTAAAGGCATTTTTGTCAAACAAAGTGCTCACATAAAGTTATTTAATATGTTTTATATTACGGAGGAAAGTATCAGTGATAGATAGTCTATTGAAATATAAACGTTATCCATGACTTAATTCCAAATTATTATTTTTTTATATTCACACTCTTCCGGTCCCTTCTTTTGTTGTCATACAAATGTAGCTGCTTTGCAATAATTATTTACCCACATAATTATCATTAGCGCGGCAGCAAACTAGTGACATAATGAATACAGCATGGGAAACAGCCTAACGCCCCCCCCCCCCCCATTTTGGAAGATCAGAAGAAGGGGGGGGGAAATAGATAATAATATATTTTCCTGATATACCAGGAACCTATCTTTAATATAATGAAATGTTTACGGGAAACTGCCCCTTAAGCAGGTGGTGGTGTCCTCACGCTAGACTTGCTTTATTAATTTGATTTGAATTGAATTGAATTTATTTACCACTTTCATAAAAACATACAAAGGCGCAGAATACAATAAAATATGTCTTGCACACATAGATGAGCCAATCAAATGGAAAATGCACTAAAGGAAATTGCGAAGTGGTTAATCAACATCATATTCTAATTTTACACCTGTTTGTTAACTTCTGAGCACGCCTTTGTGCTTGAAATTTTTAAAATCTCTTCATCATTTATTAACACACACTGGGATTCAAACGTGCGGGGAAAAAATCACCATCTTTGGTAAATATGTTGCTTGAGGCCAGGACAAAATGGAGAACCAATACAAAAATATGAGGTTCGTTTTCTGTGTCACGGCTGCTTCGTCGTCATCTATTGTATTTGATTCGATTGACGAATCACATTGTTAAGAGAGTGGTCCTATTGCTAGGATACAATTGACGTGTAAATACTTACCGATTTATTATAAAGATAGCTCAAACAGATATGGCATGTCTTTTATTCAAACATTTTCGGTTATGTACACGATCAAATAACGCGACACAGAAGGGCTACTAAAGTAAATATCGCTTGTGCGTCATGTTATACGAATATGAAACTTTTATTGCGTGTATTAAATCATTTAGGTTTGAAGAAAGAGGGTATGTGTGCGTGTGTGTGTGTGTGTGTGTGGGTGAGTGTGAGGATGTGATATATGTGTGTCATTAGCCTTACATTTACAAAAGTGAGAACAAGTGAAGTTTGCATGAACTTTTAACACTGGGTAAATGTAGCCTCGTTTTAATAATTTACTCGATTTAAAAAAAAAATAGATTATTTCTATTATTCTGTCGCTCCAATTGTGGGTATTCTGAGGAGGCTAGGAACAGTGTGTGGTATACGTGTGGAAGTGTGGTCGGTTGGTGTGTGTATGTCGTATGTCGCATGGTAGGGGGGCAGTAGTGTGTGGAAGTGGATGCAGGCACGTAGCCAGAGTTTGATGGGTTTTTTTTTTTTTGGGGGGGGGGGGGGAGGGGGCACATACATGTAATCGATCGAGGTAAAAAAAAGGGGTCTAAAAAAGTTCAACCGATCTTGGAATTTTTTGGGGGGCACGTGACCCCCCCCCCCCCCCCCCCCCCCCCCCCGTGGCTACGTGCCTGCGTGGATGAGGATGTTGAGAGTATGTGTAACGGGGGAGGGAATGGGGGAATAGACAACAAATTCTCTCAAGTTTACTTTAATATTCTTGATCATATATGAAAAACAATTCTAAACAGTTTATGGAAATATACTTTCGTTTTATTTTTATTACTGCAATTTATGTTTAATCCAAAATATCAAAGTACAATGTATCCAGTTTTGTTAAGAATGATTTGTACAATAAGTATTTGATTTGAGAGAAAATAATTATTTAAAAAAAAAAAGTGGTGAATGTTCGTCGGTCTCGATGGTTCAAATCTCCGAAGATGGTATATATTAATAAGATTTGCTCCTATGAATTGCATTAGACCATCGCCTCAGGTGTTAACATTTTACAGCGTAATACATTAAAATAATTTATTTTCAGGGCTAAATTTTATTTATTTTAAAAGTGTGTTTAATCGCAACCATGAAAAAAATTATATTTTTATTTCACTGAGTCATATTTTAATGAAATAGATCCATTAAATTAAATACAGAAATTACTATTTTATGCCATACGATATTAAAAGTGCTAAAAGGTCATTAAATACGCTATTTTGCATTGTATTGGCTAAAATATGAAAGTCATTAAATTGCGCATATAATATATGTGTTTTAATTCACGTGAGAAAAATGATCTGCGACAATTTCTGATCAAAAACGATCATTGAATATTTACTGTCTGACAAAAAAACATGTTTGTTTTGTAAATCATCTGAGTGTTTTCTATAACACGACTTGGGAAAAGTGACACAATCAACGACAGAAAAATGTCAACCCCTGTTTAAGTGACACAACATTTAGCTTTGATGAACAACGCGGGAAATGTTTGAGACGTACAACCATTATGTTAGTAATTTCATAATATGAACAACCATAATTAATTGCATTCGAATGTACAATTTTACATTAGGTACATACATTTTTCATAAAGCTTGAATTACCATGGTTGAATTATGTATTAAGTCAAAATGTGATGCTATGAAATCATAAAGATAACATTCAGTGTATCTTCTTTTAATGTTTTGGGTATTGTCAAAATATGTCTAATCAATTGCAGGAGAAAAAAAATGCGCGTGTGAAACCTAGAAAAGTAGAAGAAAAAAAAGAAGAAAAAAAAAAAATCGAAATTAATTGACATGGAAAAATGTACAACGCCATTGTAAGTGAATGGATTAGGGTGCAGCCCAATTTAAATTCCTCTGGTAAACAGTCTCTCTCTCTCTCTCTCTCTTTCTCTCTCTATCACACACACGCACACACATACCCGCACGTGGCGCAGCTAATGGTGGCCCTATTGAAATGCATTTTTTTTTTTTTAACAGGGAAAAAAAGATAAAGCGAGAAAAGGGAATGAAATAAAGCAAGAAAGAAAGAAAGTAAAAGAGTAGGGAGTGGAGAAAAGAAGGATGAGGATTTAGAAGATAGTACGTCCCCCTCCAACATTCAAATTTCGGGGGCTTTGCTCGCTTGAATGATGACCCCCCACCCCCCCCCCCCCCCCTCAAAGAAAATTATAATTATCATTATCACCACCATCACCGCCATCATCATCACTGCCATAACAAATCATAAGCCTCATCATCGAGATTAAAATCACAATCCATATAAAGTGACTTATATTATATAGCTTGTTTACTGCGAATTCAATCATGCTTATTATTATAATTCTTGGTTTATTGAATATATGAGCAGAAAGCCGCTGATGTGGTACAAGTAAATGAAGGAGTGGAAGTGCGAGAGGAAGAGTGGGTTTAATGAAACTAATGTCCTTTGGCAAGACATTGATCTACATTTTCCACACTCCACCCAGGTGAAGATTTGAACAGGAAGTTCAAATCTGATTGACATGAGCGCTATACAAGAACCCATTATTATTATTATTATTATTATTTTGTGCCGATTCTTTAAATGAAAACTTACGTCAATTCCTTTGGCGGCCCTAGTCTTTCCTCTGATGCTGGTCATTGACCAGAGTCCAATACATCCCAACATGGACAGACATCCATAGAGAATACAGCTTTCACCATTCGCCTCTGCATTCTTACCAGCCGTGTAACAGGGCACTAAATACGTGATGATGCAGATCCCGAAATTATCAAAGCAACCAAATGTACCATGCTTCCATTCGCCCATGATGATTCAAAGTTCTTTAAGATTGATGATGATGATGATGATAGAAAGTACCAGTATCCAGACGTTAGACGTGTGAGGGTCTCGAAGCTCAAGGGACGGATAGAGATAAGTTTCAGTGTGATACAGTCTCTATGTTAACTACAGCTCAATGCAAGGGTGTTGCTATAGTATTGGCACGTAAAAAATAAAGAATCTATATTGTTTCCATAACGCACCAGAGTACAGATCAAAAAATGAATGCTATGATTTGATTGGTCGAAGAGGTTGACGGCGTTTTTCGGGACGGGATGGGCGTTGTCAGTGAATACTACTATCGATATCATGCGGTGATCGATGATCTTGTTTGCATTAATAGAAACTGCAAGGATTATCTTGACATGGACATGAAAAATGAGAAATGAGAAATCAAGCTACATCTTCCATCATGTCCATATATTAGGTAAATCAATAAATAGAGACCCCCTCTCGCCTTAAGCAATCGACGATATCCATCCCAAACATGTGAATTTGTTGTGACCAAACGCCCCTAGCTCTCCACTATTTCTTCCTCTTAATTCTTGGAAACCAATCTGATATTTGGCCTATGTGGAATGTGTATGCATTACTAGTCTGACTATAATTATATGGGTTGTTTCATCTCAAAATATATACACACTGTTTTGTTTGATATAAAGTGTGTGAAAGCATCACTCCTCATTGAATTGTATTTTATTAAAATAATTCCACATGGCATCACCAGGGGCTGAATCTGAATTACATGGAGTTACAAGGCAAAATAACAAACTGTTTTAATACAAAATGGATACATATATCCAGGACTGCATATATCACAGTATTATAATAATATGAAGGAGCGAAAACATTAGCATCTGGTAATTGCTGGGAGATAGTTATAGCAGGGCCCGCAGGAAGAGCAGAAATCATGGAAATCATGGAAATACCAAAATGCATGCGTGCGTTGAGTAAAGGGGACAGAAGGAGTAGGAGCTGGTAAGAGAGAGGGAGACAGATGGAGAAAGAGAGAGAGATAGAGGGAGCGAGAGAGAGAGAGAGAGAGAGAGAGAAGGGGAAGAAGAAGAAGAAGAAGAGGAGTAAACAAAAATAAACGATGATAAGATACATGTATATGAATACATTGTGATAGAATATATTATCATTACTAATACGTGCCTTCATAATAGTGAAACGATGTGCAATGTAAACACACCCGATAGCAGATGTAATAAATTAAACATCGATAAATGAACTGAATTAGGTCAAGATGAAATGTGTTGCTCAAATACGACTGGATTGGTCGCTGTGCCACCACGCTGTTTGTTTGGTGTTTTGATCTCGTGCCATGGTTTCACCATGCAAAGCATCATTTTGTAGAGGCCAAGGTTATTATTATTATTCCCTGTTGACCAGGGAATAGTCTCTCGCATCCATTCATTATGAGATACTACGTATACGATCAGTCGATTTACCCCCCATTGAGATTACCATGGAGATGATAAATAGTGTAGATCATATAGTCATGGTGAAGATAATTATAGGTCTATACGATATGCATGATGTGTAAATGAAAGACACAATGGTCTATTCATCAGCGGTTCATTATGAACATGAGCATGTTGATTATAGGCCTACAGAGCAGTTTCCATAGTCAATGTTACTATACTGTATGATGCTTTCATCTGTGTGATATGAAGAATTGATGGGGGCTATTTTACAGCTTTCGAATGCTTCATGAAAAGATTGGGTTTCATTTATTATTACATCCGCGAGGCAGGCTGAATGGGTTGGTATTTAATGGATGAGAACATCTTTACAATCACCATCCTCCCATTTTCTATCATGAGCCAAGGGCGGGGGGGGGGGGGGTATGTGAGTAAAGTGCGAAGTTTCACATAATTTATATTGCCTTCTGTTGTATTAGGATTTTTTAATCATTTTTATTACACTATGTTAAACTGCACAAACACACTTCCGATATTCTGTGTGGCGTTACCCATTAAAGCCCCACTGTCCTATCTGTAGCTACTTGCTCCCTCTATATAGAAAACTTCCACAATCGGTGCCTGTTGGTCCCCAAAGATTCTCTTTTTCTTATGTTAGTTGAGAGCTGAGTTAATGAGATAGCCATTTGTCAGTGACCTTGCTGTGTGGTCTAATCCCTTCTGGCCCAGTAGTAGTGATCTTTAAAGGTCTTTAAAGGGTAAATACAATTCTAACTGCCGATTTAATTTCTGATACGCCTCTGCACTGAGAACTAGTTAATGGTCTTTTCTACTGAAATTCAAGATTGGTTCATGAAACAAGAAGTTTTATTCCAAAGATGAACAGTGACAAAATGAAACATTCAGTATTAATCTTTGTTCCGATAGTTTATACGCTGGGTAAACTTGCCGATATCGTGGGGTTCCAATAGACCGGTTTTAACATAGGGGAAAGCGGGGAGTGTTCACCCTAATTTAGATCTCACTCTTCTAGAGCCGTCATTTTATAGGCACGAACTTGCTTTTTCATGTAGAAAGGCATAGGTAAATATCTAGCTAATATCCTATTCTCACTGGGGTCAGGCACATAGTTTCCCAAAGAGGACTCATAAAGTTGATTGCGACAAAAGGGCCAAACTGCCCCACCCGGGGGCTGTTTCGTCCATTTGGAAGAGTGTAGGCCTAAGTACGCCCTGTTGGGAAAACAATGATACATAAAACAAATATTGTGTTTTAAAATATAAAAATAATTATTCAAAAGGAACTAAAGCCAGCGAAAACAGTTCTGACAAAGGATGGGAACAAATGAACCAAGGTACTGCATGCATGGGCGTACAACCTTATGCGGATGCCCTTGTCCGGAACGTATAGTTTCAACTTCGCTTGCGGCAAACAAAGACCAAAAATATCTTTCAATTCGACACAATATTTATCTAAACGTAACTAGAGTCAACACAATAGTTTTCAACATAGTATGGAGAACAATAATAAGCTATACCTGGCGTACTGGGCGCAGAACAAGTGATGTTAACATTAAAGAGATTCATTCTCCTAACCAACGACTACAACTAACCATATCCACAACTATTTTCTTGATCTACTCTTCAAAACGGCAGTGTAATGTAGGGCATAGCAAATGAAATAATACAATCCCATCAAATTTGTGTGTCTGTCAAAATGTAATATTTGTTGAAACAATTAATAAAAATACCACTACAAACAATATGAATGAAATGCGCTTAAACATACATACTGTAGTTGAATAACCTAAATATTCACTATACAAAATGCATAGGCCTATATTGAAAGAGGGCACATCGTCTGGCAACGCCAATATAGAATGATATATTGCATATCATAATTTTCTTTGCATTTCTTTCAATGATCGTACCCTACCAATCTGCTCGTCCTGGCCTTCGCTCTTGTATTGACAGCAACCTGCTACAACTTACAAGTTCCTCGAACATACACCAAAGCTGGCGACAATGTTTTCCGGGCATGTGCTCCTCGACTCTGGAATAAGCTTTCACGTTTTATTCGTTTATCACCTTCGCTGGATGTTTCCCGAAAATGTCTCAAAACTCTCCTCTTTGACCATGATCAATAACAGATTCTTTGATAATTGTATGTAAAGCGCTGTGAAACAACAGTCAGTTTGTAACAGCATGACTTTATTGTATTGTATTGTATAGTAAAATCATATTGCTCGATTGGTAATGTTGGATAAGAGCATGTTTTTGTGTGTGTGATTCCAGGAAGAGAGAAACAAGACACCAGAATTTTATGCCATACGAATTTTAGTACCAATTGCAATCAGTTAAAATGAAGAAAAAATTGTTTCCTTTTTCCTAGTGGGAAACAAGTTCCAGTTTCAGTTTATTGTTCCCATATTGTGACGGAATAGGGGGGGGGGTGGTTAATAGATAATACAATAGAGGAAGGAAGAAGGGGGGTAAAGAGGAAGAGGGGTGGTGGTGTTGTAATTCCCCAGTGAGAGAGAAAGGGGGGGGGGGGGTGCTTGCATCGCTTGCCACCAAAATCAAGTCAACATTCACAACACAGTAAGCTGCCACCATCTAGTCTTTATTAAGAGCGCTAGATTCTCTTCTCTTTACAACTTAATGTTGTAAAGAGATTAATACCAGACCTGTTGGATCACACAATAAACGATATTTAAATGACTTAATTATTCACAAATCACAGCCTTCTCATTGGCTCATTTCGCACCTCTTGAATTCAACACAACGCACTAATGGTCAACCTTTGACCTGAACCCTGGGCTCTCGTAAACATTCGCGCTAGATTCAACTCGTGCCACGAGCAGCCTGGCTCATCTCCACACTGTTCCACACTTCAAGTAGCTTGTATTTCTTCATTTAGGTGAGTTAAAGCATCATCATAAGATCTGAATAATTCTGTCAGTACTCTGTAAGCATGATTTAATCCTAATATTTGTATCAGACTTGTACAGCTCAGATTCTCTAACGTTCTGCACAACACACTGCAAACATGTGACAGGGCACACTGGGTGTCCTGTACACGCAGTTAAAACACACACATTATTCGCACTCGTATCCTGGGGCACTTTCTCTCACGTCCTCTATCCCAATCCTCCCATAAGGTAGCGAGCAATCTAAAGGCACAATGACATGGATAAGTGTCTGAATAGAACCAGACAATGATTTCGTTCTTCAAGTTCTCAATCGCGCTATCTAAAGAAGATGTAAAAGTACCAATCACCATTCACACTTGACTAACTAGACCTACTGTAACTAATGTGTAACCAGACATGTATTACTGTAACTTATAAGAATGAATCTGTCAGCCTAATTGTTCAGGTGAACAAATAACAAGTAACACTTTATTAATGGATTTCAATTAACAGTGAGGCTTTCATGCCTAATTCAACGTTGACGTAATTCAACTCGAAAATGTATGCAATGCAATTACTAAGTATAAGAGTTCAAATGTACATTATATACAGATGTGTTGTCACTTTTGTCAGACAACCAATCATTTACCTAAGTGATACTAACTTAATTGTATAGACTATAATAGTAGATGCAGTATTATGTTAAAGAGTTCTATAGGGACAGGTTTAAGATGTTACAATAATAGATCATTAGCAACTGAATTCTATTCCAAAGTGTACCTTTTCTTTCCTACTAAAACATGAGAAAGTAATTCTATTCCGGGCACAACATAGCCACTTCATCTTACGGTCAATCTAGGCTGACCAGCAGCCATCCAATAATTACTTCATTCCAAGTTCAAGTACAAATACTTAACTGCCTTCCTTCTTATTGCCTAGGCATAATCAACTTATGGTATTCGGATTCACCGCTCAACGGGTATTTTACTTACTGGTCTATCCACCCCTAATCTCGTCATGGCAGCTCACTCTGTCGGCATAACCATGCGATCTTTAATCCTTAGGTCTTTACAATAGGTTATAGCCTCAAATTTCCAATTCCTATCCTATTGCTAACTTCCAGAATTACTAATCAGTTCTAAACGTACTTTAATCTTAAGACAACCGGTTTGTCTAGGGATTCGTTCCTTGCTCTCTGTAATTCAGTGCTTATTAAGGGATCATTATCAATAAGTGTTACTAAGATAAAATATACATGTAAGTTACAGCTCCATAAATACATAAGCTACTTATATTAATTTGTACATCATTAATTGTTGAATTGTGAATCTATTTACAAGTGACTAAATCTTATGCAAGTAATAGCATCAGATCGTATTTACTTTGTTCATAAATATGACGAATATATTTAAAGTACAACTATATAGAATACAATTATTAAATATACAAATGTTCAATATATATAAGTTACAACTGCTTTACATGTAGATAGATATATTCTTAAACTACTAGGTACAGGTGACAGACTAAGTTACTGAGGCCCTCAGCCTCGTCCTCCAGAAATTCATATTACTAGTAATGTATTAGGTCACACAGCAGATATGGTCTATAGTCTAGAGTAAAAATCGATAATAAAAGAGAAAATGTTCCAATGACCAATTAAATAATCAGTCCTCCATTGAATAATAAGCAGTAGCACTAATATTCAATATCTCACAAATAGATAAAAGTTTGTACATGTATAAACATTCTTAGAACTACTTGTCACAGAAACCAGATTGGAATTGGTTAGACCTTTAGGTATACCCGCAAAGGATCAGTTAGTCAAACTATCCAGCGACCTGAAGTACACCTAATTTCAGCGTAGCTAATGATTTATTAGCTACAAAGAGTAAAATCTCTCAACCAAAAGTAATAAATAAAGGGAATATGTTCACCACTTCCAATGCTCATTTCTTAACAGTGACTGTGATATCTGAACTGACATCTCTGTAATGCAATATAATTGTAAAGACATTTTATTAAGTGTTGCATTATTCAATAAATAATTACTGGCACAGTAATATAAAATCCAAGAATTCATGTCCATTTTGTGTATTCTGTTTCAGTTCCAAGCATACATATTGATAACTATTATCTGATAAATGAATACCAATATAACAAGCTTCCATATACACAGCAGTCATACTAATCATATGCACAATACCAATTTGGCTAGTTTTGGGCCATCCCATTTTGGCTAGTTTTGGGCCATCCCATTTTGGCTAGATTTTGGCCAATCTGCTTCTGGCCTGTATTCGATTCGGCCTTAAAAACCATGAAAATACACATTTAACTCTAAAATAAACATTAAAACATCAATTTTGGTACAAAGTCCAATAGATTGATCAACATTTGTTGTTGGTGCAATGCAAATCAGCTAATCTGCATATGAATAGCAATGGGCGGAAACGAAAGGAATAATTACCGTAAATCTCGGTTCAACAAGGTTCACAGACAGGTCAGTTTCACAGCGCATCTAATGCCAAAGTGTACAGCCTAGCCACATCGATCAAACTCGGCTATCACATATCAGCGCACTACCATGCGCTATGCGCGTATGCTTTAACCACGCGAATATGTACGCACATGAATATTCATAAATCTTCGCAATAACTATTTCAAAGTAAGTGCGATTACATCAAATAATTTGTAACCTTTATACAAAGAGAAATATATTGATCAAAATAAAGTAAGAGCCTTATTCCGAGAGTACAGACATTTAGAATAATGGTAAGTCAGCCTGACAGTATAACTCAGCAATTTAACAAGTGAAATAGACAAAAATATATGAAAAGATCGAAAAATCAGTCCCACATATATATTTTGGTGTTTCAAGTCAGTTTTATAAAAATGAACAAGTTAGATTTTACGCTGACCGTCACACTACCTCCCTTCTTCTAAATCGCTGTCCCCAGCGACTAAAAAAAAAAAAAAAAAAATTAAAAATACAACCACTCATTTCTTATCATACATGTACCATACTTTGACATGGTAGTGATACAGTACATACAGGTCTATGTGTATTTTTTTTTTTTTCTTCTTCTGTTAAATACAGCATAAATGTAGGCTTAAACGCTAGTTTCAATAAATATACAATAATTAAAATTCTCAATAGTTATAAATACACAATAAATAAAAATTACTCCTCATTACTGTCTTCGTCGAAATTAAAGGTTTTCGTCTCTACCTTCCCTCTTTTTTCCTTCCCGTGCACGTGATAATAAGTCTCGGTTACGACGGTCACTGACACCAGTTTTATACGTCCAATTTCTGTTGCTGCTCTGTTTAAACTAATCGTTACTTCCTCTAAGTCTGGTGTTGGTCTTGGGTCAGTTGGGGTCGGCTGTCGGTCATCAGTTGCGTCTGGGGTAGGTTGTCGATCGTCAGTATCCAGGGTTGGTTGTTGATCAGCGGTATCCGGGGTTGGTTGTTGATCGTCAGTATCCAGGGTTGGTTGTTGATCAGCGGTATCCGGGGTTGGTCGTCGATCGTCAGTATCCAGGGTTGGTTGTTGATCAGCGGTATCCGGGGTTGGTCGTCGATCGTCAGTATCCAGGGTTGGTCGTCGATCGTCAGTATCCAGGGTTGGTTGTTGATTGTCAAAAGAGTCAGAGAAATAGTCCCCTGGAGACAAAGATAATGTTTCGTACAAATATTTCAACGAAAGTACTGGCAGAGGGGTACTAGATCCTGAGTTAATATCCTTACTCTTCTGTCTTCTTTCCTTTTCTGCTTCTCTTGCCTTCTTAGCAATTCCTTCTCCTACTCGCTCCTCTTCCAACTTCCTTTTCCTTTCCTTCCCCTCTCTCAGGTTTTCTTGCTTCAACGTATAACGATCTGATGCCGCGGAGAAAGCCACTGCTAAAGTATCGCTTTTGGAGAGGTTATGAGTTCTCCTATAATGCCTACGGAATTTAATCCCCTCAGTGGTTTCATATGCGCAAGTCTCGCATTTCAGAGTTAGTTCACGTCCATGGGCCTCTTTCATGTGTCTGTTTAGCTCTGCCCGTGAAGTAAAACCAGCCTTGCATGTACTGCAAAGAAGTAACATCGTAAATCGTAAATCTGGAAGAGGTAGAAACACAGAAACAAAAACAAATTAGTCCCACATCCAATATTCATTTTAATCTCGGTATCGTCCTGGCACACGCCGAGTCCTAGCTGGATTATGACGTTTCAGCCAAGTCTCCAGAGGTGGACCATCATAACCCTTAAGTCTGTCTAAGTGCACTACTTTAGGCTTACATCTCTCACTTCGTTGTATTCGATATACCACATCAGAAAGCTTAGTGATAACTAAGTAAGGACCAGTCCACTTCATGGTTAGCTTAGGACACACTCCTCTCTTCCTCTCTATTCCATACAACCAAACCCAGTCACCAACTTTATAACTGGTGAGTCTAGTGTTCCTATCATACATCTTAGCTTGGCGTTCACCCGTCAAGCGAAGTTTATTTCGGGCTCTATCATGCACATCATGAAGTTTATCTCTCAGTTGCTCTGCATAATCTCCTATTTCACTTCCATTTTCCACAGATGAAGATCGCTCAACCAATATATCTACTGGCAATGAAAGTTCTCTTCCCAACATCATTATTGCCGGAGTTTCTCCCGTTGACTCCTGTACACTTGATCTGTAAGCTAACATGGCATGGGGAAGCAGCTCGTCCCAATCTCTCTGGTTCCTGTCCGGATCGATGAGGGTTCTCACCATGCCAATCAAGGTGCGGTTAAACTGTTCAATCATCCCATCACTCCTGGGATGAAGAGGACACGTACGCGTCTTCTTAATTCCTAGAAGTTTACATACTTCACTCATTAAGTTAGACTCAAAGTTTCTGCCCTGATCAGTGTGGAGCTCATTTGGGATTCCATATCTGCATACAAATTCCTCTACAAAGATATTAGCCACTGTCTTGGCTTCTTGGTTTGGCATAGCATAAGATTCAGTCCATTTAGTGAAATAGTCTCCAATGACCAACACATATCTATTTCCTTTATCTGTCTCGGGCAAAGGTCCCATAATATCCATAGCCACTCTCTCCATCGGGGCTCCAACTCTGTACTGTTGCAAAGGTGCTCTATTCTTCTTAGGTGGATTCTTGGACCGTGCACACACAGTGCATTTCCTAACCCAAGAGCGTACATCAGCGGCTAGTCCTACCCAGTAGAATCTACGTTGAAGTTTGTGTAACGTCTTGTTTACTCCTAGATGAGCTCCTGTTTTTGCATCGTGCAAATCAGCCAAGGCCACTGAGCGTAGGGACTTGGGGAGTACAGTTTTCCAGTTCACTTCCTTACCATCATCTGACTCCCATCTTCGAACTAGAATCTCATCTTTTATTTCCAGTAGCTCCCAGTTTATCCAATATGTCTTTACTGCTGAAGATAGCATAGACATTTCCTTCCACTCTGGCTTCAATTGAGACTTCTCTTTCCATTTCAACACAACACTGATATCACCATCTATTAATTGTGCTTTCCTTATTTCAGCAAAGGTGAAAGAAGGTGAAAGACTTATCGCTTCTACTCTCTCCTCAAGTCCAATCGCATCTCCATTAGTTGGTGTCTCCATTATTCATCATAACACGAATTCTGTATATAAAAAAAAAAATATATATATATACGAAATAACACCATAAAATATAACATGTCATAAGTAACTATAGTCTATGTATTAACTCAATCTATCTCTTATCATTGCAGACATCATCAAGCCTGCCGCACTGTGAACAGGGGCGTTGAGATAATCCATCGGCATTAGAATGAATTCGACCTGCTCTGTGCACTAACTTAAGGTAAGTCGATACTGGCTAACAACTTCCAGCCATCTGGCTACTTGACCTTCAGGATTCTTAAAGTTCATTAACCATCTCAAAGCTCCATGGTCTGTCCGAACCGTCACTTCTTGTCCATACAGATAATGTCGGAAGTGCTTCAAGAAAACCACAATAGCAAGCAGTTCTCTTCTAGTTACACAGTAGTTTTGCTCAGGTTTACTTAGTGTTCTGCTCGCATAGGCAACTACAACTTCATTTCCCTCTTGCTCTTGTGATAGGACGGCTCCGATTCCATACTTGCTAGCATCAGTATCCAAAATGAACGGTACTCCTAATTGTGGATATGCAAGGATTGGTGCAGTGATAAGATATTCTTTCATCGTCCTGAATGCAATCTCACATGCATCAGTCCAAATGAAAGGATGTTCTTTCTGGGTAAGGGCAGTGAGCGGTTTGACTACATCCGAGAACTTTTTCACGAATCGTCTGTAGTAAGAAGCTAAACCCAGAAAACTCCTTACATCTGTGGCATTGGTAGGTGTAGGCCAGGTCCTAACCACATCTGTTTTTGCAGGGTCCGTGCTAACTCCTCGTTCTGAAACAACATGTCCAAGGTAGAGAACTTCTCGTTGGAAGAGGTGACATTTTTTAGGCTTCAGTTTGAGTTTAGCTTCTCGGAGACGAATGAACACATCCTCTAACCTGTGTACCATTTCCTCAACAGTGGATCCAAACACAACAATGTCATCTAGATAGATGAGGAGGGTCTTCCATTGTAGTCCAACAAATATATTCTCCATTAGTCGTTCGAACGTTGATGGGGCATTACATAGCCCGAATGGCATAACTTCAAACTGAAATAATCCTCCGGGCACCACGAATGCCGACTTCAGTTTTGCATCTTCGTCGAGGGGTACCTGCCAATAACCGGCTGCCAAATCCAGTGTGCAAAAGTATTTTGCACCAGCTAAATAATCGATCGACTCATCAATCCGGGGAAGGGGAAAAGAGTCTTTCACCGTGTGCTTGTTCAGCTCTCGATAATCAATACAAAACCTCTTTGATCCATCCTTCTTTGGCACTAACACTACAGGCGAAGACCATGGGCTTGCTGAAGGTTTAATAATGCCTCTATCTAGCATATCTTGTACCTGTTTTTCCATCTCTTCCCTTTGGCCAATTGGGGAACGTCGTGGTCGCTGTCGGATTGGTGCTAGGCAAGTCGTATGAATGCTATGTCTCACTTTGTCTGTCTTGCCAATGTCATGATCACCCCGGGAGAACACATCCTGGTAGTCAGAAAGAAGTTTTGCAAGTTTTAGATAATCTGAGCTGTCATTATTCACCTTAGACTTCTCATATAAATCATGGAGAAATTCGGGAACTTGGGTAGCTACATCAATATCCACATTCACATCAATCTGTCTTGTAAGCAAGGTTCCTCCATCAGAGTTTGTACACTGAATGACATTACCATCCATTATCAGCTCACATTTGTCACAGTCTATTGTGCTCTTTGTGGCTAGTAACACATCCATATACCTAGTATGCCATCATTCTGAATGTTCGCTACCAAAAACTTGGTTGATAGATAAGCTTGTCCAATTTGCATATTCATAGTTGTAGTCCCAAAAACTCTCACTGGTGCACCATCAGCTTGCTGGAGTTTGATATTAGTGCATTGAAGATCAGTTTCCTCATCTTTTCTAATCCTATTATAGAACGTTTGTGACATTATAGTACTCATAGCTCCAGTATCAATGAGAAAACTAACTACGACTCCATTTATCCGAACTGCAATGTACATTCCTCTCCTTGCCTCATTTATTACGCAGACAGTTAAACTGGCTGCATTTACATCCTCGGACCTTGTTGAGTTGACCGTCCCCCGGTCCATCGGGATGGTCTGCTTCCGTTTCCCTGGGTCTGTTTAGGGCAGTATTTTGCCATATGACCATTCTCTCTACAATTGTAGCAAACTATTCCTACTGATTTGGATTTGTCCATGTTCATTTCCCTCATCATTTCCATCATCTCCCCAAGACTTGACTTTAACCCATCAATTTCCTTTCTCATCTTGTCTACAGGGATTGGTTCCACATTGCTTTCCATGCTACGAACATGACGAGCTGGTCGAGTACGTTCACGAGCCTTCTCAGCCTTGCCGAAAGACTCAGTTGCCAATCCTGCTCGGATAGCATCATCAAGCGTTATTGCATGGGCGCGGAAAATTCCTGCTCGAACTTCTACATCCTCGATAGCATCAGAAAAGTGCCCTCGTGCAAGCCTCTCTCGTGCATCTCTGCTTAACTCCGGGTATGCCAGACAAGTTAAATCTCTGATTGCCTGACCTAGCTCCTGTAAGCTCTCCTTTGGTTGACGACGCCTCGTCCTCAATTCCAATAAGAAATTCTCAGCATCCTCTCCTGGACCAAATCTACGCTCCAAATGTGACGCAAGTTCAGAATAAGTAAGCTCACGACCAATGGGAATATTGTTCAACACTTTCAGTGCTGCTCCTTGAAGTCTTGTGGCTAGAAATTGTCCAGCCTCCACATCATTCCATCTATTTAGCCTCATGCAGACATCAAAATGTCGGCGATAATCTGTCCATGGAATTCTGCCTGCAAACTTGTCTGGAAGAACATCTCTCATTCCAGAGTTTGAACCTTTTCGTCTCCTAGAGTCGGTGGATTGGTTACTCGCAACATAAAGCGGATGATTCTGGAAGTCAGTAGGTGTTAACACCTGGCGCCTCTCTCCAGGTATAGCATCTCCAAAGCCTGACATCTCAACAGCGATTTCCGGATCTCGCTCGTCTATTGCCCAGCGTCTTTGGACTTCTTTCTCATCATTGCCAGAGTCACCGGCTGCCATTTCTCCAGGTTGCTCACTAACAGGAGCATCCATCTCAATCTCGTAAATCCCTATTTGATTAATTTTGAGTAACCAAACAAAAATATCTGTCACCTTGTACCTTTACAATGTAAAAGGAGTAGAACTCCTTCTTAATATTTATTCACATTGAATATTCATTGTGCATGTTAAGTAGAGTACACTAACTAAATCTTAACTAAGTAACTATAGGTACACTATTACTCTTGGTATAGCTTGGTATGCACTTCTGGATGACTATTGATTCTGAACTCGAGTCCTTTATTTCACAGTAACGGCAGTACTCCTTTGACTGCCTTACTCGAATACAAACTAAACTATCGGCTCAACAGATCCTTGCTGTCTCTTGCTTAAGCTTTAGTCTTGACCCACTCGATTCAGACCTCAATACCAATTCTGCTAACTCATAACCACTTAAGCACAATCTACATAATTACATGTATGCCGTGCACTGCACACAGTAAAAGTCAGCTCATGGAATAGATTCAAGCAAAAGTTAGTCAGTGATCAGCCCTTCTCTTCAACCAGAGCCTTGCTCACGAGTGTCCGGCATCAATAACCCTCAGTGGATTTGTCGCCATCAACATCAAGCCATAGCATAACCATACTTAATATACAGTAACCCTACTTGTAAGTTAGTAACGTACTTAGTCTGGTTCACATTAGCTACTTAATGCTAAAGTTTATCTGTCATGTCTAAAACATCGTAAACAACTTGCTGGTACTTTTACTTGCCAATTCACCTCAAAAATTCACTGGAGGAATACTCATCTCCAATTATTTGCAAGTACAAAATTTCTCAAGAAAATGCGCCATTTTGTTCGAACGAAATCATCCCACTGCTGCCACCAAATGTGACGGAATAGGGGGGGGGGGGGTGGTGGTTAATAGATAATACAATAGAGGAAGGAAGAAGGGGGGTAAAGAGGAAGAGGGGTGGTGGTGTTGTAATTCCCCAGTGAGAGAGAAAGGGGGGGGGGGGGGGTGCTTGCATCGCTTGCCACCAAAATCAAGTCAACATTCACAACACAGTAAGCTGCCACCATCTAGTCTTTATTAAGAGCGCTAGATTCTCTTCTCTTTACAACTTGATGTTGTAAAGAGATTAATACCAGACCTGTTGGATCACACAATAAACGATATTTAAATGACTTAATTATTCACAAATCACAGCCTTCTCATTGGCTCATTTCGCACCTCTTGAATTCAACACAACGCACTAATGGTCAACCTTTGACCTGAACCCTGGGCTCTCGTAAACATTCGCGCTAGATTCAACTCGTGCCACGAGCAGCCTGGCTCATCTCCACACTGTTCCACACTTCAAGTAGCTTGTATTTCTTCATTTAGGTGAGTTAAAGCATCATCATAAGATCTGAATAATTCTGTCAGTACTCTGTAAGCATGATTTAATCCTAATATTTGTATCAGACTTGTACAGCTCAGATTCTCTAACGTTCTGCACAACACACTGCAAACATGTGACAGGGCACACTGGGTGTCCTGTACACGCAGTTAAAACACACACATTATTCGCACTCGTATCCTGGGGCACTTTCTCTCACGTCCTCTATCCCAATCCTCCCATAAGGTAGCGAGCAATCTAAAGGCACAATGACATGGATAAGTGTCTGAATAGAACCAGACAATGATTTCGTTCTTCAAGTTCTCAATCGCGCTATCTAAAGAAGATGTAAAAGTACCAATCACCATTCACACTTGACTAACTACTGTAACTAATGTGTAACCAGACATGTATTACTGTAACTTATAAGAATGAATCTGTCAGCCTAATTGTTCAGGTGAACAAATAACAAGTAACACTTTATTAATGGATTTCAATTAACAGTGAGGCTTTCATGCCTAATTCAACGTTGACGTAATTCAACTCGAAAATGTATGCAATGCAATTACTAAGTATAAGAGTTCAAATGTACATTATATACAGATGTGTTGTCACTTTTGTCAGACAACCAATCATTTACCTAAGTGATACTAACTTAATTGTATAGACTATAATAGTAGATGCAGTATTATGTTAAAGAGTTCTATAGGGACAGGTTTAAGATGTTACAATAATAGATCATTAGCAACTGAATTCTATTCCAAAGTGTACCTTTTCTTTCCTACTAAAACATGAGAAAGTAATTCTATTCCGGGCACAACATAGCCACTTCATCTTACGGTCAATCTAGGCTGACCAGCAGCCATCCAATAATTACTTCATTCCAAGTTCAAGTACAAATACTTAACTGCCTTCCTTCTTATTGCCTAGGCATAATCAACTTATGGTATTCGGATTCACCGCTCAACGGGTATTTTACTTACTGGTCTATCCACCCCTAATCTCGTCATGGCAGCTCACTCTGTCGGCATAACCATGCGATCTTTAATCCTTAGGTCTTTACAATAGGTTATAGCCTCAAATTTCCAATTCCTATCCTATTGCTAACTTCCAGAATTACTAATCAGTTCTAAACGTACTTTAATCTTAAGACAACCGGTTTGTCTAGGGATTCGTTCCTTGCTCTCTGTAATTCAGTGCTTATTAAGGGATCATTATCAATAAGTGTTACTAAGATAAAATATACATGTAAGTTACAGCTCCATAAATACATAAGCTACTTATATTAATTTGTACATCATTAATTGTTGAATTGTGAATCTATTTACAAGTGACTAAATCTTATGCAAGTAATAGCATCAGATCGTATTTACTTTGTTCATAAATATGACGAATATATTTAAAGTACAACTATATAGAATACAATTATTAAATATACAAATGTTCAATATATATAAGTTACAACTGCTTTACATGTAGATAGATATATTCTTAAACTACTAGGTACAGGTGACAGACTAAGTTACTGAGGCCCTCAGCCTCGTCCTCCAGAAATTCATATTACTAGTAATGTATTAGGTCACACAGCAGATATGGTCTATAGTCTAGAGTAAAAATCGATAATAAAAGAGAAAATGTTCCAATGACCAATTAAATAATCAGTCCTCCATTGAATAATAAGCAGTAGCACTAATATTCAATATCTCACAAATAGATAAAAGTTTGTACATGTATAAACATTCTTAGAACTACTTGTCACAGAAACCAGATTGGAATTGGTTAGACCTTTAGGTATACCCGCAAAGGATCAGTTAGTCAAACTATCCAGCGACCTGAAGTACACCTAATTTCAGCGTAGCTAATGATTTATTAGCTACAAAGAGTAAAATCTCTCAACCAAAAGTAATAAATAAAGGGAATATGTTCACCACTTCCAATGCTCATTTCTTAACAGTGACTGTGATATCTGAACTGACATCTCTGTAATGCAATATAATTGTAAAGACATTTTATTAAGTGTTGCATTATTCAATAAATAATTACTGGCACAGTAATATAAAATCCAAGAATTCATGTCCATTTTGTGTATTCTGTTTCAGTTCCAAGCATACATATTGATAACTATTATCTGATAAATGAATACCAATATAACAAGCTTCCATATACACAGCAGTCATACTAATCATATGCACAATACCAATTTGGCTAGTTTTGGGCCATCCCATTTTGGCTAGTTTTGGGCCATCCCATTTTGGCTAGATTTTGGCCAATCTGCTTCTGGCCTGTATTCGATTCGGCCTTAAAAACCATGAAAATACACATTTAACTCTAAAATAAACATTAAAACATCAATTTTGGTACAAAGTCCAATAGATTGATCAACATTTGTTGTTGGTGCAATGCAAATCAGCTAATCTGCATATGAATAGCAATGGGCGGAAACGAAAGGAATAATTACCGTAAATCTCGGTTCAACAAGGTTCACAGACAGGTCAGTTTCACAGCGCATCTAATGCCAAAGTGTACAGCCTAGCCACATCGATCAAACTCGGCTATCACATATCAGCGCACTACCATGCGCTATGCGCGTATGCTTTAACCACGCGAATATGTACGCACATGAATATTCATAAATCTTCGCAATAACTATTTCAAAGTAAGTGCGATTACATCAAATAATTTGTAACCTTTATACAAAGAGAAATATATTGATCAAAATAAAGTAAGAGCCTTATTCCGAGAGTACAGACATTTAGAATAATGGTAAGTCAGCCTGACAGTATAACTCAGCAATTTAACAAGTGAAATAGACAAAAATATATGAAAAGATCGAAAAATCAGTCCCACATATATATTTTGGTGTTTCAAGTCAGTTTTATAAAAATGAACAAGTTAGATTTTACGCTGACCGTCACAATATTTTACATGATACACATATTACAATGTAAAACAATTCTTTGTAAATCATTATCACAGAAAAGAAAATTAGTTACATGTGAGTAAGTGATCGAGTTATTTAACAGCTTTTACAAGAAGACGAATAGGCTAGGCCTAGATTTATTTTATAGTGAAATATGACGAAACCTATGTGGCGCGATTTTTTCTCCAAATTTTCTCACAATTTGGGCCCCCTCTTTGGTCCCCCTCCCTTTGATACCAACTGGATCGCCCCTGCCTCTGATAATTGCCCTCATTCAAATATAAAATGTGCTTCTTTTAATATGAGAAGTGCCCCTTTTGTTCTATATATATTATCAGCTCAATTAAAAAAAAAATTACTGCTTTTTTTAAAGGCCTACCCTTTGGAATACTGATTATATGTTGGTCATTTCTGAAGAAAAAAAAAAGAAGATCAAATACAATTTTACTTTCGACCAATCAGATTTCAGTCAACTGAGGCCAGTGTTCAAGAGTTTGATAACGTACTTGAGGGGGAAGATTGATCTTACATATTAGTTTCCTCCTGCCATATAGATTTAATACTATATCTCTGAATTAAAAATAACTTTGAATAATTATTTTAAAAACCACCAGGCTAAAATAAATGCCTAAAACTAAATGATTTCAAACTTCAAATCATCCTGCAATGTTTCGCTCCCCCTTCTACATTAATGGAATAGCCTGTCGATGTCGTAAAGAGTTGCGTAACCTCTTACATCATCGTGATCAGTAGCCGTGACTCGGTGTTTGATAGAGTGAAATTTCAATGTGAGTGATCAGTTTGCTTCAGAAATTCATTTTCAAAAGGACAATACTTGGATCGTTGATCAGCAGTGTGCCTTTAGTATATCGTCATATTACTAAGAAAGGTAGGTCGTCATGAAAGCCAGTATTAACACAACATTGAACAGGATTCTATAAATAAATTGTTACACGTAGATACCATGATATGGCTGTGTTGGCCGTCTTTTGTGCCGTAGCCCTTACGGGCTATGTGAAAGCCGATCGCGAGTGGAGGCGGAATGTGTCTGTGCGCCTAGGCATATATCTATTGTCCTTGACACAGAAATGAGCCTCAGGCCTCATGAGTAAGGATTGCTAGTTAATCTGTCCTTTTGGTTAATAAATAATATAAAAAAGATGGGTTTATGAAATCATTCATTCAGTGTGGAGGCATATGTGCTGTCACACAGTAAGCAGATGATTATTTAACTCCGGGAAGCTCCAACACCGGCGCCGCAGGCGTCTGAGCTTCGGGTGGTTTCGTTGTTTCCTCGTGAGGGCTAGTAAAACAGCCGATTGGGTGATATTATTGTTAAATCTACAAAGGGAGTACTTACAATTTTTACATCATTGTGTGCAAGACTCCTCGGGGCTCAACTCCAATCACTTGAATGTATAATTTGATGAAGTCTTTGATGGGAAAAAAAAGGTTAATTCGGGATACTACACCAACGATTCTTCCATGTCGCAGCGTTGATTCAAAATAGCGATGAGAAGGTACGCATGCGCGGCAGTGGCGAAGAAAATATGAATATTCATGCTATCGAGCGCCGATCGCTGGAAATCGCTGAATATGCACGACTCGAACAAACAGCCCTTCTCAACCTCGTGCATATTCAGCGATTTTGAGCGATCGGCCTCATGCATATTCAGCGATTTCGAGCGATCGGCGCTCGATAGCATATTTTCTTCGCCACTGCCGCGCATGCGTACCTTCTCATCGCTATTTTGAATCAACGCTGCGACATGGAAGAATCGTTGGTGTAGTACCCCGAATTAACCTTTTTTTCCCATCAAAGACTTCTTCAAATTATACATTCAAGTGATTGGAGTTGAGCCCTGAGGAGTCTTGCACACAATGATGTAAAAATTGTAAGTACTCCCTTTGTAGATTTAACAATAATATCACCCAATCGGCTGTTTTACTAGCCCTCACGAGAAAACAACGAAACCACCCGAAGCTCCGACGCCTGTGGCGCCGGTGTTAGAGCTTCCCGGAGTTAATGATTATTCAGAGTGGGAAGAGAACGTCGCGTTGATGCCTAGACTAGACTCTAATCTTATTGAATTCAAAAAAAAAAAAGTAAAAGTAAAATTAGAGTGGAAAGAGAACGTGAATGCCTAAAGCCAATCCATTAGGGATTTAGACATTAGCATTTTCTTTCCACTTTCAGTAATAAGTAATGCCTAATGGCAATACATTTTACAAAAATATTAGAAGCTTGTGTGCTGTGTGGAGTGAGCAGGTACTAGTAGATCTAGACTTGTATTTTATCTTAAAGATTTTTTTATTTTGAATGATACACATGCAGGAAAAAATGTTTTGTGGTTGTGGTTGAGGCCTTCATGGTTATCTTGCAGTGGCACAGACTTTGTATGTGATGAATGTAATTCATAGTTCAGTGACTGTCTATTTCCTACAGATTTATATCAAGAACATCGATGGTCCTCTCCAGATCACGGAGCCTTGTCTCTCTTCTTCTTGGTGTCTCCAGACCTCTCTGTTTCTCCTGTACCTCAAGGGTTTTAGGGTCCATTCATCGTTCCCTGACCGGCTCAGCAGATGACACCATGGCTGTTGATACAAATGGCATCAATGTTGCAGCTATGAGGAAATCATACAAGGTCAGTTAAAGGTATAGACCGGTAGTGTTTTTACTTACACATGTATATATGCACCTGCACAACAAGAACAACAAGTTAAAATGTGGAATAACAGGACATGTGAAAGTCTCCACATATACACACAAAACCAGCGCGATTATCTTCATCACCATGAAGCGGCACTTAACTGGAAGAAGAAGAAGAAATGGTAAAATTGCGGTCCAAGGGTTTGGGTGCAAAATATGCATTCAATATTGTTTAAATATTGCCTTCAGAGGTTTAGATGGCAATACTTCAACCTAAATTTGCAAAAAAGCAGAAATATATGCCCAAATGTTCAATTTTGATTGAAGTGCATATTTTGCGATATCTATCCAGGCCGGATCGAAATTATAATTTACCAAATATACCATTTAGTAGGCGGTTTCCCGGCAAAATTTGTATCATCACGTATTAGTCAAAACAGATTCTTTCACATGATTGGTAATAAGAGCTTCCATTTCATTTGTTAAAAGGGTGGCATTTCCAAAACTGGTCTATACCTTTAAGATCATACTCATAGGTATGAAATTCAAACAAAATACCATCTTCATTTGCTCAAACCAGTTTGAGCTTTGGATACCAGACCTATCAGTGCTTCCTCCAGAAATGTGTCTTCCCTAGCTTGGTAATAATAATAATATAATAATAGGCATTTCTATAGTGCCGTCTATCTAGAAATTCTATTCCGAGGCCCACTAATTATTACCCCGGCTTTAGCCTAGCTGCCATTACAGCGCTCCTGCATTTCAAGGAATAAATTCCTTCCGGGTACCCACTTACCTCACCTGGGTTGAGTGCGGCAAATTAAGATTAATGCCTTGCTAAAGGACATTAGTGCCGTCTTGGTGATCGAACCACGAACTTTGAATTTCAAGTCAAAGAGCTTAAACCACTCGACTGACACTTCTACATCTACATCTGAAGGGTCTTGTCATGGATCTTCTGTGTTTGTAATTTGTTATGGGAAATGATTCTTCCAAAGGAATGGCAGAGAGACCTCTGACTGTCACTTAGTAATATTAGTTAGAATATACCTGTATAATTTATGCAGTTTCTTCACATTTGCCAGAAGATTTAGAGGCTGTCTGTACTAGTTTGGCTAGGAGGGATTAGACCACCCAGGGTAGTCAATGACAGGTGGCTATCTCATCAACTCAGCTCTCAATTAACATAAGAAAAAGAGGATCATGGGGGACCAATGGTAACCGATTAGGCATTGTTTTCTTTATAGAGGGAGCAAGTAGTTCAGTGTGGCTTTAATAAGAATTTCATATTATGGTCATGTGAGTCATTGTGTTATGGCTGTTTTTCTTTCTTTGTATCTGTGTTTAGGCTGGACACCAGGCATTCACTGAAGATGATCTGAATTCCAAGGATCCAATGATGCAGTTCACAGCTTGGTTCAAGGAAGCTTGTGAAGCTACACAGAACTCCAAGACAGAAGCTAATGCAATGACAATCGCCACTGCTACAAAGTGAGTTCTTTCGTGCTCCACCATACACTATGAACATGACTGACAATGAGAGCGGACAAAATATACAGTTCCTCAGGTAGACAAAGGAACATCCCTTACTGCTATTATGTAAAAATGTGTAGAACAGGTGTCACATGCATATTCACCTTTTTACATAATAGCTGTGAAGGGATGTTCCTTTGTCAGTCATGTTCATAGTGATAAGGCCTAAGAAAAAGAAGATGTTTGTATTGCCCTTTAGGTGCCAACACATGATTCTTTTTTTAAATAATTTATTTCCCTCTCTCTTTGGGCCAATATTTCTCAATTTTGAATGCTTTAATACATATTTTGTTAATCATTGAACATTTTTTTCTCTAAAAAATGGTTAAAAAAAGAAAAGCCGACCGTAGATTTCAAGATTTTTGAGTCGATTGTAAAGGGCAATACAACATCCTATTTTTTAGGTGTAATAACGACAATGAGAATAGTAATAGAATTCTATTCCTGTACAATGCATGGTTGTATGGCACATGCTCAAGTCACAATAGTTTAGCGGTAGAAATATCCTACATTAACCAGATTTTTGTCTTCATCCTGTACAAAACACTATATCTAACTCTAACCCTAAACTGTTTCTGCTCTGTGACCAAACAATCATGGTGATGTCAAGGGCTCCAGCTTTAGAAACTGTTATCAGCAAGGAGTGTATTGGACCTAAGACCTTCACATCTTCTATCAATTTATAATTTACCATTCAACTATGACACCTCTACCGGTACATTGAAACATAGTGGGGGGAGCGAACCTTCGCTCATGCTGGGCCTTCATTATGGAATACTCTCCCTCAATGGATTAAAAATAGCAGTTCTGGTGAATTGTTCAAAAACAATCTTAAGAAATATCTGTTTAATTTAGCTATACATTATTATTATTATTATTATTATTAGGCATTTAGCTACGCTATTCATAGTACACTATATCACAGCGCTTACAATAATAACCACAAATCATAACATAACATAACATTGAACAAACAAACAAAATAGCGAATCAAGTAGGAAATAAATAGGTTTTAAGGAGTTTCTTAAAAACATCCACTGATGCAGCAGCTTTGATACTGGAGGGAAGTTTATTCCACTCCTTAGCTGCTGCAACAGTGAATGTGCGATCTCCTGCCTTACTACGAGCCACATGAAATGTCAGTCGAAATGGGTCTGCATTGGAGCGAAGGTTTGTACGTACAGGTTGATACAACTCAAGACAGTCACTAAAATACTCTGGTGCCTGATCATGAAAAAATTTGTATACAAATAAAAGAATCTTAAAAACAATCCTCTGTTTGATTGGCAACCAATGAAGGGATGTTAGTAGAGGCATGGCATCGTGACGACGGTCTAAACGAAAAATAATACGAGCAGCCCATGTAATTGATTACCATTACCTTTCATGTCTGTACCTTTCCTATTGCACTTTTGTATATATTATGTATCATGTATTTCATCCTTTGTACAAGCTGCGCCTTGAGCATTTGATTGTCAAGTGGATTTGGCGCCATACAAATCTTATGTATTATTATTATTATTATTATTGAGAGTTTAATGGACATGATTTATGTTTGTTATGACTTTTTTTTCCTACAGAGATGGTAGGCCTTCTGCCAGAATGGTGCTGTTGAAGGGCTATGATGAAACAGGATTCAGATTCTATACCAACTATGAGAGCAGAAAAGGCAGAGAATTGGTGAGTAGTTTTTGCTTTTCCGACGACAGGAGTGGCAGCAGCAGCCATGTCAATATTTCAGGAAATACTCTCTTTTCAAAAGTATGTGCTTGATTTCCTTGAAATGCATTTTATATTTTTATATTCAAGTGTATATTCAAAGGTCTAAGTGATGGCTCGATTGAGGTCAAGTGAATTAAAAAATGTATCTTATTACTGAAACTATTGTAAAGTTTTATAATTTTATAATTCTTAGTTTCTTATCCGTATTTCAAAAGTTTTTTTTCAAAGTCCATCATGTGTAAGTATCATGTCTTTGATTTGACTTGGGTTTTGTACATGATTATGTTTTCCTTATAGGCTGAGAACCCTTTTGCAGCTCTTGTCTTTTACTGGGACTTCCAGAGCAGATCAGTGAGTATCATTCTATTGTGAATATCAATCACATTCATATTCAGTCAAATCTTATAATGGCCACCTGCCTGTAGTGCTCACTACTTGAAGGGTGATTCTATGCAATGACAATGTATGACACTTTAATTCTTTAAAGGGACTTGGTAACATTGTTCAGATGAGAGAAAATGGTGCTTTAAAGGTTAAAGATTTAATCTGAAAGATTGGATGAAAACGAACCATTATCAATGATAATAAATGGAAAAAACTGATCTGATCGATTCCTTAATTCTCCAAACTATATTATTACAATTTGATGATTACATTTTAGGTGAATGTAAATCGTCACAAAGCAATAAATTGGCTATATATACCATTCCAGATATTTAAGTGTTGAAACATTTTTTTAAATGTTGGGAAAATTCAAAAATGGTTGGCAGAATTTACTGTTAACTTATAGAGGGTGTTGCATAGTGACGTCTTCAAAGAAAACCATAGATATCTTGGTGGTTTGAGAATTTTTTAAAAGAATGTTTGCCTGTTAGAGGGTAAGTCCAGTAGAAGGAATATAATAAGTATCATTTCATACAAAAATTTCACAGTTTTTTCATCAACCTTCAACAATGTTGCCGAGTCACTTTAATCTTGTCTAAAAATGAAAAAGCTCTTGATATGAAAGTTGATAAATGGTTCTTTTGGTATCACTACCATTTGTCACTTCATGGTCATATCGGGAGATTTTAATTGTAATATAATAAATGACTCAATCACATGTATGTAATAGATGACTTATTTCACAGTATCGATATGTTGTAGAAAGAAAGAAGCTGTTTGTTCTTGTGGCCACTTTTACAATTGTAGTTGTATCCAACAATTAAGAAAGTTTCAAAAGGTTTTTATTTTTATTTTTTAACCCATTCAACTTCTACTAACTAATGCTTTAAATGGGAAGGTATTAACTCATCTTGATCACCAAAATTGTCTTAATTTATTCTATATTATAATAATCATTATGATAGTACCATTTATAAAGCACTTAATACCGGTACTTATTTTTTCTAAGCGCTGTACAATTATTACAAAGGCATTAGCCAAGCTACCCTATTAGGGCACTTCAGCATTTAAGGACTTCTTTCCACCAGGTACCCATTTACATCACCTGGGCGGAGAGTTACAAATGTAGATTAATGTCTTTTCAAAGGTCATTAGTGCCATGATAGGATAGTGTATGTGAATGAATCCGATTACCGGGGTAATCCGGGGTTGACAATATCTGTAAAGCGCTTAGAGATGGTATTCCGCATTAAGCGCTATATAAATCCAGATTATTATTATTATTACTTCTTGTTTCCTTCTAGATTCGTATTGAGGGTCCTGTTGTAAAGCTGGCAGCTGAAGAGTCGTCCGAGTACTTCCATTCCCGCCCCAAGACCAGTCAGATTGGTGCTGTAGTTAGTAATCAGAGTACACCCATAGAGGACAGACATGTAAGTCACATATAGGTCCATTGTTAATGTCTACGAATCAAGCACAGGAAGCATTGTTATTTCATAGCAATCATTTACCTTGTTTTGCTGTCCATGTTTAATAGAGAGAACATGCAGAGTTTAAGACAATAATGGATCTTCAAGTGTATTCATGTAGATTTTATCTTCATACAAGCGTATACTAATTTGTGTTAATAACCAAGCTCCTAATGAACGACCAGAATTTGCACTCCGATTTATGCAGCAGTAAGTGTCAACCTCGTGTAATAGTTTTTATCATGAAATCAATTACTATATTTATCTTATTTTCATTTTTTTAAATACATTTGCTAAAGAGTAACAGTAAATTTGTACAGAATAAAGATGTTGAACCTCATTGATCCAAGACAGGTAAAACTTCACCTGTATCAATTAATACCAGAGAATAAAGATGTTATTTATGTTAGAGACATCAGTAGAGATTTAGACATGTATTTTCATATAAACTAGCTCGTAAGAGTAGGTCAGAATTATTTTAAAAAAAAATATTTATTGAAAAGGTTTGTATTAAATAAGTGGAAAATACTAATGCTGGTATAGAGGCTCATAGAAGAGGCGATCAGTAAGCAGCAATATAAAATCAGAAGCATACTTGATACTGATTACAAAAGTCGTTTTTACGTAGCAATGGGAAGGCAATCTGGATATTTTGAAATGAATTACTTTTCTTATTTTCTTGTGTTTCTTTCTGACAGATTCTGACTAAGAAAGACGCTGAACTGAAAGAACAATATAAAGATGAGAGCAGTGTTATTCCCAGACCTGACTATTGGTATGTAATATGAAGGAAAAAAAATAGAAACTCAAACTCATTACCATATTGTTGTGGCTTTTTCAAAGGATAGAACTTAGTTAATGGTAATCTGAATGTTTATTGACAGAAAGGACTGGAATTGTGTTAGGGTAGGCATCTGCCTAATGATTATGCTACTAAAATCCAAGTTATGGAAAGTCTTATTTAATATTTTAGTAGTGGATTTAAGTTGATTAACATGACTTTCCCTTTCTATTGTTTTGTGTCAGTCTCTGAAATGCTCCCTCTCTCTCTCTCTCTCTCTTTCTCTCTCTCTCTCTCTCTCTCTCTCTCTCTCTCTCTCTCTGTTCCCTTTCCCCTATCTATCTCTATATTTTGTATTATAGTGTTTAAGTGAAGCTTCTGCTTTGTATTAGTGTAATTTGATTAATTATGCACTATTCATATCTTTGTGTTCACTTTTCTCTGACTATTTTATTCCAGGGGTGGTTTCAAAGTGATCCCTGATGTTATAGAATTCTGGCAAGGGCAGAGCAACAGACTCCATGACAGGATTGTATTTCGTAAGCCCAGAGAAGCAGAAAATATTGATGGAAAGTTGGTTCACCAAGGAGAGAATGGCTGGGTCTACGAGCGTCTTTCACCTTGAGAAAGCCAGTTTCAACTGATGGTGAATTTTCTGCTCCTCTACAATTCAGAACAAATGTAGGCAAATATTAAAGGAATCGTTTAACAATGTTAAATCTGAGATGCATGGCCCTACGTGTTATCAGTGTCTGTGATATGGTGTTATATTGAAGCCCTAAACAAAATTGAGCTTCAAAATGATCAAGAAGTGCCTCAAAAAAGTAAACAAATTTGAGTGACTGGTTTTACCATACTCGTTTTCCCCAATAGACTATAGTGTTATGAAAACCGTTTGGCAAATGCAAGATTTGATTTCGATTTTCAACCATAAATATCTTGATAATCAGACAGGCGATTGGCTTGTAAAAGTCATTGGTTCCTGACTGACCGAAAGGTTTATTATTATCATTGCAGCATGAGCTAAATCTAGGATTTTGTTTCAGAATCTGAGACAAAGTTACTGGATACCTTTAAGGGAAATCAAGCAAGGAAATTGCATCAGTTTAAGGTATAAAATGATTGGAAGGAGTCAGTTACCCCTTCTGAAACCTACTGCAAATGTCACTTCTTGTATTTTTTTTCTGTTTGTCTGTCTTGTGTAACACAAAATATTCCTTGCTCGAATGACTTTTCTCATGCCCTGTTCATATTTAGACAGTTAATTGTTCAAGAAACATATCATTATGAAAGAAACAAAAGATGTAGTGAATTAAATATGTCTGTACGTTGTGCACTATGTATACTCTATGGAGACATTGTTGTGCATAGCTTTGTAATTTCAACAAAATTTCCTCTTGCCATATATATATATACATGTAATATTATACCACATGTATAAAACTTCACAGAGGCAAAGTATTTAATGTGAAACACAGAATATGAATGCAGCAGTATCATCATGATGATTGGATTTCTAAAATGAGAATGACATCCATAGAAAGGGACACTGTGATTGTGGTGTTGATTAAACAACTGTAATATTTAGCATAAAAGATTTGTGGTTGAAATTTCCATGAATAATGTGATGGTTGATTTGTAATATCTACCCAAGGAATTGAAGGAAGACTAGTGTTTCAATAACGCATTTGTTGTTTGCATATAGGTATATTAGTAAGTGCCAATGGTCATAATCAACATGAAGTATATTTCATAATTTGTCTGAACCATTTCTGTAATGTTACTTGTTATAAGTCACATGTATTCTGCCATTCCAATTATGGAAACTAATACCTCAGAGAGTTTTGCGTCCATTAATAGTTGCTCAATTACTTCACATGCTGGTTGTTTTATGTTCAACATTTTGGCCATCTATACAATGAAGCCTCCAATGTTTTAAATGTAACATTGGTTCCATCCATACAATGTAGCCTTTAATGTTTTAAATGTCACATTGATTCCATCCATAATATAGCCTCCGATGTTTTAGATGTCACATTTGTTCAATCCATACAATGTTTTAACCCTACGTTAACTGGGGGGGGGGGGGTCAATTTGACCCCCTGTAGTAATTTCGCTACTCCAAAACCGCGGCAGATATAAAATTTTCCTTTCATGACTTTTTTCTTTCGAGTCTTACGCATCTTTTAAAAGAATTTTTTTTGAAAATCGGACGTATAGTTACAGTCACGTGACCTTTTGTCTTTGCATGTCAGCCCGAAAATCGCTCATTTTTGTGATTTGTGTAAAAAACATATGGAAATGTCATTTTTCCTAAAAAGAGATAAAACAATGTTTTTTTAGTCTTGTTTAAAGTTTAGGTGTTTGTTTTTGGGTCAAAACAGTTGAATTGTAGTTATAAATGAAATAAAACAATAAAACAATAAAATACATAAGTTAAAAAGACAATGAAATGCATAAGAAATTATCAAAACAAGAGATAACATAAGGAATAACTTGGCTCTTCCTTTTTTTTATGTCGTATTATTGTTCCAAATGGTCTAACAAATATATGTAGTGAAAATGAATGCTTAAATATGAATAATTTATGATTTATGGGCAAAAATGTGAATTTTATCACCTTATTTGCATAAATTACTATAAATATGCAAATAAGTGAATTTTTCAAAATTACCATATTATTCTATACACTTCACTTGACATGTATGCAAATTTTCGCGTTAAAATGTCACATTGATTGTATACACTGTGTAGACCCAATATTATGAATTATTGTGTATGATGGAGTCATACTTGATACTTCCATTCGTAAAATATAAACAAGCAATATACTAAGTATTGATATACATGTGGTTTGTATTAGGGAATGATCAATAGCAGTATTATTTACATGTATGTTGATAAACATGTTATATGTCAATAGTTATGATGGAATATTTGAATGATGCCATTAATAATAATTTGGGATGTGTGAATTTCATTGTACATGTATGTGTAAATCTCAGGACGTTGTTTTGTGGGTTCTTTTGGCTTATCTTAAGCTAAATATAATATTGGTATTAGGATATAGTAAGGTGACTGTTGGTTTTGTAGCCAAAAATCATCATAGTATTAAACCTAAGCCATGAAGTATTATACACTAATTCTTGTTTTGTGTGAATGACTTGAAGTGTTGTTTTGAGCAATCATTGTTCAAGCATAAACAAAAGAGCTTTAATGATCACAAACCTGTTAGGGAAGGATAGATATATGAAGAACATTAGAAAGAGGAAGAAGAAGAAGGAGATAACACTGGTAGATGTGATAACTCACATAAAAATACACATGTACTCCAGTCAAGCTGAAGACAAGGATCCAAATGAAATCTAATTATGTGTGCTTTTTTCAAAATATTATTGCCTGTATCTTGTACATACACATGTCCAAATTATGTCGATGAAAATAGAATACACTTTGTGACCATGCAATCAAATATTTTGATCATCCAATATTTAGTTTTTATTTTGTATTTTGTTAGAACAATGGCCAATGAGAAAGGAGAGTATAAAAATGGAATTAATCCCTGGTAAGAGAAAAATTTGTGAATACAAGTTTGAGAAGATACTGTAAACAATTCAATGTAGATTCATATTATAAAAAATAACCTACACACCTAAATTGTGCCCCACCCCCTAAAAAAAAAGCCAAGCCAAAGAGAGAGAGAGTGGGAGTGAGAGAGAGAGAGAAAGAGAATCAGGGGCAGAAAATATACTAAGAAAGGCATGAGAGGAAAGTTACAAATTGTATAGAGATTACAAAGAATAAGGAAATGAGAGGGAGCTCTCATTACTATACTAGAGTGCAAGTGGAGACGGCAATAAACAAAACATGAGAGAGTTAAAAGGAAAGGGTGTATATGAGTAAGCAAGTAGATGTGAGTTTAAATTTTAAAAGCTGGAGTACTGTGGAAAGAGAGAAGGAAGGAAGATCCCTTAATATATAACGGATAAATAAGAGAGAAGTTTGGAATATCCTTTGATATATAAGAGAGAAAAGAGAAATGGTAGACTGGAATATGAAAGAAAATACAAAACGGGCATCTACTGTGAATCCTACTGTCTTCCTTATTCCCTTCCCTAAAACCACTGAGAAACACATGAAAAGTCACTTTTCACTTTCAAACTAAAACAAAAGAGTTATATATATATATATATATATATATATATAGTTCTCTCGGAAATTAATTATGTTTTTAAGAAAAAAAGTCATTGGTTTGGCACTTCATAGAAAGAAAAAAAATCGGCTGCTTGAGAAGTAGCTGGGCAGATTACCGTGAACTTTCGGTTTGGACAGCTTAGCTAGGAGATGGGAGATTTCACATTTGGTTTCGAGATATGTGAAGACGACAGCAATATAGACACTGCTTCTAATGGTAAATATCATTTTGTGTCATGAAATGACAAGGAGTGTACCACAAAATGAACTTTCGATTTAGTATCGTATTTAAACTAACATAAAACATTATGTATGGGACAATGTCTAATATCTTACACGCGTGGCATGGCAAGGCTTAACAATGATATTTTTGACTGATAACTACGGTTTGGGTCTTAAGGGACGTCTTGATGTTCCGAAAAAGGAAGAAATGTGTATTATTGATTTCCAGTAGTCGAGAAAGTAATTGGAAATGACCTACATTTGTATTAGTGAGTCTATGACTATGCATGCATGCATGTTGATGCACTCTATGGCAAGCCAAATGTCCCTTTTATTATATTGTTTGTTGAGTGCATGATTTTCATGTTGTGACACACTTGTGATGACAAATTGAACCAATCTTTATTTGAATGTTTTTGTAAGAGTTTATTCATGTATTCAGGTCAATGACTTTCCAGACAACAAAAATGCATGTTATTTTTATTTTGAGTTTACGATAATAGGGTCTATTAGTCATTTTTTAGTTTAAACAGTGTCTAACATCATCCATCTGCAAGAATCTTCAAATGAATTCGAGAATTGTATGTTGGCTAGAGAGGCAAAAATCTGTTCCTGCAACTCTGAACTGCTTAGAACCATTCTTCGTTAAAGAAAATTTGATATGTTGAAAATGAAGTTAAAAGAATTATATTTCACCAGATATATCCTTTAGATTTTATAGAGAAATGTTAAGGTTTTGCCCCATCCCTCACCCTCCCCCACCTGTTTATGCCTATTCCTATTTTGTAATTAGCTACTAGTCTATATCTTAAGATTATTGTACCAGGTCCACATTGACAGAATAACTCTTATTATATCCCTTATCGTAAGATTGTTGCATTAGAAGTGTACACAACTAGAAAAAGAATAGTTTTACTATAAAAGACGTTTCCTGCCGACTACATCGGAATAGTTCATTTTTTATTGCTGACGTCACGCATAGTACCTATGTGTGACGTCAGCGAGCGTACAGGATTTCAATGCCTAAGCGCTGCACGCACGACCAACTAGCGCGCTCTGTCACAGAGCTCAAGCACATGCAATTTGCGCTGTGCGATAATTGCACTACACTAACGCAATACCGCCAGCTAAATATATTTACATCCTTCAATGTTTCATTTGAGCCGTGCAATTTTCTTGTCATTTCTTTTAGATCTGAATGTAAGATGTGAATGTGAGTATAAGGTTCATGTTATTACAGAAGTGTAGGAACAATACAGATGGAAGGGATATAAAACAAATATAAAATGACTCATTCTCGGAACAAGCTGAAACTATTCGCACTCAGGAACATCATTAGTACTAGTTCATGTTCCTTCGATGCGAATAGTTTCAGCTAGATCCTCGAGTGTCATTGTATATTTGTATATTGCTACTGTAATTCCTACATTTTATATTATATTTTAGATTCTTCTGCAGTTAAAGACCATAGAGGACCAGATGATATAACCTTGAGACCAGCTAAAGAAATCTATATTCCTTACAACGAGACAAGAAATGAGGTAATAAATGAAAGCTTATATACATGTAATAGGAAAGTATACTGGGCATCATTTCATCAAATTGTCGCAAGTACAAAAGTCGCTTTTAAACATCCCTTTGAAACATGTGTTGATTTAAACACACATCTTTTAATAGGATGTCGATAAACTCTTTCTTTTGACGGATTCATGAAATTATGCCCAGGACTAAATGCAGCCATAATCGCTACTGCATTAGTAATAAAATAGTAACATCAAATTTGAAACAAAGTCTGTCACTAATTTGGCATTTCCAAGTTGTAGAAATTGACCAAAGTGGACGAGACTCGGTATGTGTTCTGAAAGTTAAGTAGTCGACCAAAGCTAAAGAGTCAAAAGGAACAAGCCTGTGCTGTTCAAAGTGTATGAGAAATTTCTGACAACACTACCTACCATAACATCAATAATTTTGCATGACCTTTGACCCTTAGGAAAGGAGAATTGTGTGTGTATCATGCGGTGATGTGAACCTGTGCTACCTTCATCCTCAAGATGTAGAAGGAATGATTGAAGAAAAGAGTGACATCAAGGAGGCTATCTCAACACATTCTGATCTCCTGCCGTCTGTTTATGAAGGTAAGCTACATTAGTGAAATGCATAACAATATGTGTCCAGAAAGCGAACTGCAAGTGTTGTTGAAAATCGTGATTTTATCACACAGGATTAGAACAACATCCTTGGTACTTGGTTGAGTAATCCCTTTGGCAGCTCGCTCAGGAAGCTATATTGGGATGATAGGTAAGGGGAGCAATTGCAAGGAGTGCCATAAAGTGCAGGAATGGAGTGTAGACAAAGCATTTGTCAATTTACAAAAAAATATGCTAAGTCCACTACAAGTTACAACCAAGCCAGTAAACTTATACTATGTGAGAGCCTACAGGAGGCTTGCACATTGCTCTAATGGTCGGTAGGGCAGCCTCCTTAAAGTAGGTTATTCCTTTTGCATTGACTGCTGAGCCTGGTAGATGGTTCCAGATCTTTATTGCTCGTGGATAGTAGGAAAACTTGAAGGAGTCAATAGTTGCATCAGGAATAACATACTTCATGAACTTCAGGAAATACATCCTTAGAGCTGGCAAATGAATTTACCATCTTGATTGATAAACTTCTTTCAGATAAATATGTCCAACTTTGAATTAACAAAAATCACTGATCATGCATTTTGCGTTCAGGATGCATCTTTTTGTGCCAGTGCATTTTGCTAAGCTACCTAAACTTCTACTCCATCCATGTTTCAAATTGTTCCAATTAATTCAGCAAAATTCCTCGGAATATTAAGAACACAGTGGAATGAACTATTTTTGACTTTGAAAAGCAACAGCTTTCTTTTCAAGTGTTTGATTTTTTGTCTTCTATCACTTGTTTCACCAAAGTGTCCTAAGATTTATTTAATATTAATAAGAAACATCAAAATAATTTAAACTGAAGTGTAAAGATTAATATTTATATCTTTTCATTTTCATGGGCTGATGGAAGAGTCTTCATTTTTTTCTTCTTGCATACAGGTGGGCTGAAAGTCTGGGAATGTTCCTTAGACTTAGTCCAGTATCTCCAGGACTTGGATCCCATCTCTTTCTCTGGTCAGACTATCCTGGAGCTAGGATGTGGAGCCGGTCTACCAGGGATCTACACTCTGATGAAAGGAGCTACTGTCCATTTTCAAGATTATGTAAGACTACCACTCATTGGATTAAATCAATTTAACTTCTATTTTATTGAAATCACTATTCACGATAAAGAACATTTTCCTGGGAAGTCTAGTTTAACAATAATAATAGTCAGATTTTAAATAGCGCTTAATACATCTCGGACATCTCTAAGCCCTTAACAGATAAACTATTACCCCAGTCATTGGGTTCAGTGCTTGCCTGCACATACTGTGTGCACAATCTCCACTCCCTGGGGAGCATTCCAGCCAGGCGTTACTTGACGCTCAAAAACTGTTTGACCAACAATGACGGTCGCATCCTGCCGGGTACCCGTTTGAACACCTACTGTAGGTGGAGAGTAGCAAGTGTAGATTAATACCTTGCCAAAGGATATTAGTTTCATGTACTGCAGTATATGAGTTAACCAACTGACTGCTTAATTCTCCTATTCTCCATGTATTAAATAGAGGAACCATCTGGTTCCAGCATGCAGTGGGTATTAGCAGTAATTTATTGCCTTTTACAAAATTCTTGACTCATGGTCACAAAAAGTGTCATGAAAGTGCATAACTCTAAGCAATACACATTTTGATGTAAATGCCAGGAATTCTGTCATTGGATTTCATCATGTTCATAAAAGTTGCCCTACCTATTTTGTAAACATTGAACCAATCAGTTAGACAGAGAATTCTTTTCTTTTTCTCAGAATGAAGAGGTCCTGGAACTCCTGACCATTCCAAATGTCCAGCTGAACACCATACCAGAGGTCTACAAAGAGAAATGCCATTTCTTAGCTGGGGATTGGAGTTTAGTGCAAGATCTCCTAATGCAGGAAGGCACCAGGTCTGTCTAGCTTAATATTCTATTTCAAGTACCCTACCCCACCCCCAGACCACCCCTTCCCCCCCCCCCCCCTCCCCCCATTTCATTTGGTTTATTGATACTGGAATGGTTATCAGGAAATGACAGTTTGGGGTTTATTGTCCTACTATCTTCGTTCATATTATGTCTCTTTTTGCGGTTAAATACATATCAATTTATTCTGCTTAGGAGTAATTAGAGTAAATCACTTCTCCAAGCCTTAATATTTATGCAGAAGTTTGTCTTCATTTCTATCTCTCTCATTTCCCTCTGGATGTGTTTTTTTTTCTGTTTTTTTTTTTCTTCTTCATATTTGTCTTTTCTCCCTCATTCCATTCTCCCTTTTCAATCTCTTTTCCTTACTCTCTCATGTCTCCCATTTTCCTTTATCAACATATCACTGTTGCTCTCTCTTTCTCTCTCTAGCTCTCTCTTGAAACCCTTCATCCATGAGCATCTATTGTCTTCTATGACATCTCAAACTCTCTATTTATATTTATAAATATATATGTAATATAAGACTAATTATGTGTATTATACTGATGAGACTGAGTATTTAGTGTCCATGAATGTATTTTAGTGTCATATAAATCTTTTCTCTCGTCCTTCTCTTTCTTATTTCCTGTATGTGTATTACATGTTCCAGGTATGATGTTATTCTGACTTCAGAGACAATATACAGCTTAGACTCCCAACCCAGGCTTTACAACATTATCAGAAGCTTACTCAAACCAAATGGAAAAGTGTATCCTTTATCACATTAGTTTTCAAGCCTGTGGCCTTTCTAGAATTTAAGTTGTTTGTACATTGTACCTATAATTGCATGTGTTAATTGATGGTAAACAATTCGCTATGTTCTACTTTGTAATGAAATTTGAATGCAGAAATCTAACTTTGACACTGATATGAGAGGTTTATTACTGTGTATCTCAATTAAAATGTTTTAGAAGTGTCTGAGTCTCTGAGACATTCTTCTTTTTTGCCTGCTCCTATCCTTTCATTTATTCTCCTGATGTTTGGACTGTAGAATGGTAACAAAGTTTTAGAGTGGCAAATACATCAAGTGTAATACCTGTAGAGTAAATATGACTTGCCCTTTTTCTTGAGTCTCAAATGTTCTTGGATTCGGAAATGTTAGTTTATGGCATGAATTAGAGAGCTTAGAATGCTTCTGTGATCCCAGCCGCAGCTCTCCCTCGTTTGTTAGTATGTCCATCTTTCTCTTTCTCTATCTCTTTCTCATGATTTAAATGATAATCTTCTTCTTAGAATTTAAAGATGATGGTGAGGATTCAAAGAATTTATATGGCACCATATTTAGAAACATTCAAAGGGGCACGCTCCTCTCATGAAGTCCATATTTCATGTTTGCTGAAATATATTTAGTGTTTTGAGGCATCATTTGAAGTGTTCTAGATAGTCAATCGCATGAAGTGTGATTTTAATTGAGTTCTACAAACACCGACCAATGGATGAGAAGACACAGTCTCAAGAATGTTCATTCGAACATGTATAACCTGATAAGACTTGATTATACTTAACCTAAACCATGTTCTAGATTTCTTGCTGCTAAGACACATTACTTCGGTGTAGGAGGTGGGACCAGGCAGTTTGAAGACTTTGTGAGAGAGAAGGGAGAATTTGAAATAGAATCTATAAAAGTTATCAGTCAAGGTGAGGATTAAAAGAGTGTTCTAACTTTGTTAATCTTTTTTTGAAAGCTTTGTGGTAGAAATAGAATGATTTTGAAATAATTGAAATAAATCCAATAGGATTTGTCCCTTGACATTTACCCCAGAAAAATACCAATTCAGACAATTCTTCATTGGACAATGTACCTCTTATTACCATCAGACAACTACTTTCAGACAACTACATCTTTGTCTTATTTTGATATCCTGAGCTGATTCCCATTGCATATGATCTACCATTTCATTTGATCTACCAATATTCTTCATAAAAAAAAATATATTCTTTTTAAATTTATTTATATGACCAAGTTTTGCAGGTTTCTGATCAGTTACTTTCCACATACATAATATGTTGAATTTTTGTTTTCTTTGGTATCTGTTTTTGCCATGTAGGAGTTCGGAGGGAGATACTGGAAATGCGGTTCATACAGCCTGAGAACAAGGGAGCAAAGACGTGAGAACACAGCAAGCAATCCTCAGAGCTTGTTGACTTGATACCTGGAACATAGACCTTGGAGAAATTCATTTCTAAAGGAATGAGGTTTAGACTAAATGAATCAGCTGTGTTTGTTTAATAAAACATCTACTCCTGATGATGGTATTCTGGGTTTATATAATGCTTAATACATCTACAATGTCTATAAGCGCTTTAAAGATATACTATTATCTCAGTCATCAGATTCAAGCTTGCCCGCACGGCGCACGCAATGTATCCACATTCTCTACTATCTGGGGAGAATTTAAGTCGTGCCCCATTTCACAGACGACAGAATTCTTTATAGCAGTTGTTTGAACTCTCTTCCTTTGGCACCTTAATGCTTGAATTCGTGTAGAAGTTCCCTCTCTTCTGTCTCTCCACTAGAAGGCTGCACAATATCTAGATGCATTGGCATCTTGGAAGAGAGACTTGAGAAACGCATGGCCATTGACCCATCTGAGACACTCCCTGCAGGATCTGACCGACCATGGATCACAATAGCACAGTTTTAACAGGCAGCGTACAGGTATGGGGAGGTGCAGGGCGAACATGCACAAGTGGGGATCCATATACTGGTTAGCAGATAGTTAGTGGGCAGGGCCCCTTGACCACGGACCATCTAATGAGCTCCGACATGCTAGCTGACACATGTACTGAGAAGGATCTGGCAGAGGCTAACGACGTGGGTCTTAAAGAGAAGGTTGATTTCTGGGAAAAGGTGAAAATAATTTGTGAGCGTTATTCTTGTATTATGCAAGTGGAAGAACATCAGATACAAAGTATTCCCTGACAAGCATGGCTCTTCAAACGCCTTATATAAATATTATTATATTACTATTATAAATATGGCATGTAACATCATAAAATTTGGGACAGATTTTTATGCCACGTGTTTGTGTAGTCCCATATACAACTTTCTGTATACAGTACTTGTAACTTTACCAAGACTGGGCCAAATTTCTTATCATTTTGATGATTCCAGAACCTTGCAGTGCACACCAATACTTATCAACCTTTTCTGATCGATTCCACAACATTTCTGTCACAATGCAATCACATGACCAGAACTCAACTTTATCTTTTGAAGTCTTACTTTCACTAGAAATTGTAGTTGTGTGATGAATCAACTCTGTGCCTGCTGAGGGCAACAAATAAAACAATCATTGGACTGCCATAGTCATTCATTGTCACACATTCAATATGTTTGTAAACAAAATGGCAGTCCAGAGTGTCCGTCCACAACAAAGAATAGTTTGAAAAAGTATTTACGTGTAAGTAAAATGATAATTACATGTAGTTCATACCTATGACAAATATCACTAAGAGGATTTATTAAATAGATTTATACATCTGGTTAAGTTATCTAATCAGTCCAACCCATTTCAGAAGATGGATATACATGTAATTATAAGCCCATAAAAGACCTTTAAAGGTACTATGTCCCTTTTGCAGCCAACCTCAAATTCTGTAGAACTTTGCAGGAATTATGAATATGTCATGTATGTCCTATCTGTGAAATTTAAACGTTAGCAGTGTCCTCATATTCAAATTATGCAAGGAAACCCGTTTACTTACTAGACTTCACTGTCAGACACTATTGACTGACTGACTGGCTTTTTTTTCTTCTTTGGTAATAACATACATGAAAAGAGTTGTAAAGGGTACATGAGCATTTGTCTACATCAATAACCCACTTCTTGTGATGGCCAAGATTAAACTGATTGAATCTTTGCGGAGCATAAAACGTATGACCATTCGGTACAATTGTCTGAAAATCAAGACTATTACTTTTGGGCTCTATAGCCCTAAAGTCGATTTGACAACTAATAGCCATTAATTTCCCACTCGAAGACATTTTCAAGCCGCACCTTTTTTAGGGAAGTTCTAAATAAGTATTATCTTTCAAATGCAGTTGGAATTTAACTTTTTCATTTTTTTGGCCTGCAAATGGGACATAGTACCTTTAACATAAATACTAGCGCATGTCTATAATTTCTTTAGTGGGCATATGTCTGGGCATTTCCCAACATGTTTCATATTATCTGTGAATTATACGAAGTGCTCGTTCTTTCCAAATTTTTATACAAATAATGAAATCATGTGACAACATTATGATGCATGTATTGTACAGAGAGATAATAATGGAGCTTATGAGCAAGATTTGACTGTAATAAATGCAAGTACATGAAGATGTATTAATGTGTCATATTGATCTTCTGGTTGTAAAGTAGATAGCTGTGATATGTTTGTTGTGTGAGGTTCTTTGAGTGAGGATTTTTTGAGTGAGATTCTTTTAGTGAGTATTCTTTGAGTGAGAGTTATTTGAGTGAGGTTCTTTGAGTGAGTGTTCTTTGAGTGAGAGTCCTTTGAGTGAGGCGTCTTTCAGTGAGGAGTCTTTGAGTGAGGTTCTTTGAGTGAGGAGTCTTTGAGTGAGGGTTCTTTGAGTGAGGATTCTTTGAGTAAGGATTCTTTGAGTGAGGCGTCTTTGAGTGAGGTTCTTTGAGTGAGGATTCTTTGAGTGAGGGTCCTTTGAGTGAGGATTTTTTAAGTGAGGGTCCTTTGAGTGAGGATTCTTTTAGTGAGGGTTCCTTGAGTGAGTATTCTTTGAGTGAGGGTTTGTTGAGTGAGGGTTCGTTGAGTGAGGATTCTTTAAGTGAGGGTTCTTTGAGTGAGGATTCTTCGAGTGAGGATTCTTTAAGTGAGGGTCCTTTGAGTGAGGATTCTTTGAGTGAGGGTTCTTTGAGTGGGGATTCTTTGAGTGGGGGTTCTTTTAGTGAGGGTTCTTTGAGTGAGGATTATTTAAGTGAGGGTTCTTGGAGTGAGGATTCTTTGATATAAAATTATATTAACTTCAACCCTATTCAAAAGAGACTGATGAACTTTATTAAAGTAGACAGAGCCTTCTCAATCCTATATTGACAACAATCATAGTAATAAACAATTCCCTCATTCAACTATATCAAGTTCAAGTTCACTTTATTCAATACGTTCATTAAAAATAAACAAAGGAAAACAAACGTATAAAAGTTAAAATATAATACATGTATCAATATATAACGTGAGAATAACACAAGTGGAGCAGACATGTGGATCAACTTCAACTCCGGGAAAACATTTTAGGAAGGCCGGGCCTTATGTAAAAGTCTGTCTCCAGTAATTGTATAATAAAAAAGGAAATAATTTGCATTCACACATACACTCTCTTCCATACACACCAACACACACTTTTCTGTCTGATGAACATTAAGAATATAGGTTATTGCATTATTGCACTATCTCTCTATATATAGAGAGGTAAATTTATACAGGTATGTTATAATTTTTATACTGTAGGGTTCATAAGTGTTCATTTTTGGTACGCTCTGTAGAAGTATACAAATATTCAAGAGTTTCAGGAAGTTGATCCGGGTTGACATTAAAAACAAAAGTGAAAGTACGGAAATAGGCCAAATGCATGTATACCAACTGATATGAAAACGCAGGAGTGCTGCTTTTTTTCCCCTCAGTTCCAGTCTTTCGGGAGAATTCTGATGACTGCAGATCTTTTACTTATCTGTGTGAAGTATACTGTTTTTATCGTTTAAGTGCTAGTTTTACTCAGGAATCTCAATTATACATCAGCTGCATTCATATTTGGTAAGTGCAAATTATCTATTCAATCATAATTAAGCCTTGATGCAGTGTTTCTTGCACTAGCTCACTTTCCAATCATGAATTACCACCTCCCCAACACGCTCGACGAACCTCATAACACTTTCAGAGTAATAACAATCATAGACCTATTAAAGGAATTTTTGATATGGCATCGTGAAAGAGAGGTTCTTACCGGTACCAGGCGCGTACGCAGAGGGCTGGTTTTGGTAGGTAAACCTCCCTCAATGTTTCTGTTAGTGGGCCAAAAGAAAAATGGTTGACCAATGAGCAATATCCTTAATTCGTATATAGTTTTTTTTTCTTGAGCTACATTTTCTGAATTACAACATTACAATTAAAATGCCTTTATTTTTTCTCGTTACAGAGAAGATGATGTTACATCTGCTGGTGTTAGTTGTGAGCCTCGCTCTTTTTCCACCTTTAAATCTGAGCGGGCAAACATCTGACAATGCATTTCATTCCACGGAAAACGGCAGTGGATGCTATTTTCGATTTAAGTATTCATGTGATGACCTACTCTTTGAATTTGATCGACGGGAGATTCTCAGAGAAGGGTCCATCCAGGAATTGTCTCGTTGTTCAGCCTCCTTACCCTCCTTAATTAATTCTTGCAAGAAATTCACAGTCTCTGGTTTGCAATACATAGAATCGGGAGGATTTAAAGGCCTCGAAAACATACAAATATTGGTTATTGAAAACCACTTCTTTGATGTGGTAGAACGCGGGATGTTAAGATATCTTGATAAGTTGGAAAATTTGGTCATCGGTAGCAACCATACCAAAATTGCCAAACTAGAGAATGAAGCTTTCGAGAATTTAAGGAATCTCAATAACCTTACACTGTCAAACAATGATATAACCGACCTTCAACCAAGTGTTTTCAAGGGATTGGAAAATGTCACTTCTCTGAATCTGGCTCACAATAAACTTCAGACATTGGGACCAAACAGCTTCAGTCATATGCCCTCTTTGGAGTACCTAAACTTACGGAAAAATAAACTGAGATGCGTGAGACGGACGGCATTTTATAACTTGCCCCACCTGAAAGAAATTGATCTCCGTGATAACATGATAAAAGTGATGGCCGAACCCTCATTTGACATACATGAATTACACGTTGCTGTTGACTTAACTGGCAACCCTCTTCTGTGTGACTGTCGCATGTCATGGATATCTTCGTGGCTTAACGAGAGTCGAAATCATATCTATGGACAATGCCAAGAACGACAGGAGATAAAAAACCACTCTTTGTTTGATGTGTACAATAATGAAGATTGTCTTCCGTTTGATATCAAGAATATGACACTACAGGGAAGACTATTACACGAGCTCCCGTGCGCAGGGGTTGATTGTACCTGGATTACACCAGATGGGAGACAGCTTTCAGAACATGGTGAACGACAAGGACCTTACTTCTTGACTAACAACGATGCTTTGATTATTGATACTAACACTGCGAACTCGTCGATCGAAGGAACCTATTCTTTTTCATATGGAGATGAAAGTGATGACTTAGTAGTTAACTTTCAGGATAAAGTAATAGATCAGGTTGGATTGTCCTTCCGGAATAAAATGATTATCATTAGTTTGTCATGTTCAGTCATAACGGTCATAATACTCTGTATAATAACTAGGTATGTCAAGATGACCAGAGTTAAGCAGAGGTCAGGGTACGTTAGTGAAGAGAATAAACCATTGTTCCATCACTCATCGGAATCAGTCTTCCAAAGCTCGTATCAATCATCGGGATGGCAGAACATATCACAAGAAACACAACCTGGAGGAGAAAAATTCAGGAAGTCGCCGTCTTTTGAAAACGGCATAATTGAAAATTTCAATCATAGTGGTTGCTATAATACTTATACAGAAAATAAATGATAGAATGCCTTGTGCTAATATTTCAAACAATCTGTATAAATACATACATGTATGTTGAAATGTCCCTTGATACAGAGAAGACATTCGTTTTTAAAGGTCCAAAACTGTCAAATTCTTTTCAGTGTAATTCGATACAAATGTTCAAAAGGAGACTTGAAAGCTTTCTTCTGAATAGCGACTAGGCTATTGCATTCCCCAATCAAATATAATAATGTAGTGTGACTTTATGCAACTTTGATGTTCGTGTTACTTTGATTGTTTCTTTTAATGTATGTATTTATCATTGTTTTCCGTTTAAAAAAGATCTTTGTATTACTGAATCAGTTATTATTATTGTGTTTTCTTTATCATAAAAAAATAATTCATAATAATTACTTTTACAGGGGGGCCTACACCATACATGCTCTGCCTTTTAGTCGGCCCTCTCCCTTTCAATTTCATCATGTTTTTTCCTAAAATATCGTATTGTGCAAATTGGTCTATATGTATGTGAATATGTTAAAATGTACTATCATTGTGAATATGACAAATTGAAAGAGGAAACAAATGAATTGAATTGAATACTAATCTTTCATGTAACTCTTGCAGATTGAATATTCGTAATTAAGAGTTCATGTGAATTAGGGTTAATTTTTTAAAGGACTTTTTATCGTCACGCTGGTCTTGTAGGCCTACTTAACCTTTTTTCATATTGTTGAAATTAATCATGAATATTAAAATCACATGTAATGTAAATACGTGTATTTGTAATGATAATTTGAACGAGGTTTATAAATACGTACAATGTGGGCTTGTGCTGGTTATTTGTGTATGTGCAATTGTATGGATAGTTTGTGCATTGATTTGTATATGTGAGGGTGTGGGTTTGTAGAGGTGAGGGTGTGCGATTGTACGGTTGAGTGTAAAGATTGTACATGTTAGAGTGGTGGTTGGTTTGTATGGGTGAGGGTGTGGGGTTTTAGGGGTGAGGGTGTGCGATTGGATGGGTGAGGGTGTGGGTTCGTAGAGGTGAGGGTGTGCGATTGTATGGGTGAGGGTGTGCGATTGTATGGGTGAGTGTAAAGATTGTACATCTAGGAGTGTTAATTGTTTTGTATGGGTGAGGATGTGGGCTTATATTAATTGTTGTTAGGATATCGTTGGATGGCATGGGTGCGTGTGCAGATTGTAGTATGTAGGTTTTAGATGGGTGAGAACGTTTTTTTTTTTTGTGAGAGTATGACCGGGTTTCTATGAATAAGGCAATGTGGTTTTGAGGGTGATAGTGACGGGTTATGGCGGTTATGCGACGGATGCTTACGTAAACACATTATGGGAAGGTGTCCAGCAAAAAATGCTTTACGCATGACGTAGGCCTACTTCGAAATAGCCTCTCTCTCTCTCTCTAAAATGAGTCTTTTCCCCCACGCCTCTCATTCAAAATATGTTTGCTTGAGCCTGAAATAAAAATATGTCAACTGAGAAACAGACAGAAAATAGCAGCTGGAATATTGGTTCCAAGGGCTAAAACGTAATAAAGTAATAATTATGTTATCGTGGGACCAACTGTACAGGTTTAAGATCGACCAATCTTTAGCAGAGTGAGGTGATAGCCATTTGTCTAATATAAATCTTAAACACTGAGTATTATCACCCATGATAAGTGAATACCTTATTTTGTCGATGTGGAAAGTATACAACTAACGAATGGGAGCAATGTGAAGGGCTGGCCCCATCACCGATAAGATTATATTGCTGCGTGAAGCTTGATATATTGATTTTTTTATCAAATTTTTGCTATGCCCAATGTAACTTCAGCACTAGCACCGATGTTTCAAAAAGTCAAGAGACCTTTTTCTAGATTTAGCTTTCTCGATCTATCGTTATCGACGAAATGGGACTTTTAATGATCACATGACTAAATGGAGTGGCAGGATATCATGAAGTGGAAATCATCAAAGTCACTTGTCACGTTTAATAGGCCTGCATATTGATAAATACAGACCTTCTCATAAAAAATGGAATTCATCATAACAATTTGAGGGCCATCGTATTCAGTAGTATGTGACACTTGAAATTTGTAGAGGTGAGGGTGTGCGATTGTACGGTTGAGTGTAAAGATTGTACATGTGAGAGTGGTGGTTGGTTTGTATGGGTGAGGGTGTGGTTTTTAGGGGTGAGGGTGTGCGATTGGATGGATGAGGGTGTGGGTTCGTAGAGGTGAGGGTGTGCGATTGTATGGGTGAGGGCGTGCGATTGTATGGATAAGGGTGTGGGTTCGTAGAGGTGAGGGTGTGCGATTGTATGGGTGAGGGTGTGGGTTTGTAGATGTTAGGGTGTGCGATTGTATGGGTGAGGGTGTGGGTTCGTAGAGGTGAGGGTGTGCGATTGTATGGGTGAGGGTGTGGGTTCGTAGAGGTGAGGGTGTGCGATTGTATGGGTGAGGGTGTGGGTTTGTAGAGGTGAGGGTGTGCGATTGTATGGATAAGGGTGTGGGTTTCTAGATGTTAGGGTGTGCGATTGTATGGGTGAGGGTGTGTGTTCGTGGAGGTGAGGGTGTGCGATTGTATGGGTGAGGGTATGGGTTTGTAAAGGTGAGGGTGTGCGATTGTATTGGTGAGGTTGTGCGATTGCATGGTCGAGGGTGTGGGTATGTAGAGGTGAGGGTGTACAATTGTATGGGTGAGGGTGTGGGTTTGTAGAGGTGAGGGTGTGCGATTGTATGGGTGAGGGTGTGTGTTTTATAAAGAAATTCTAAGTAAAATAAAAAAATTGCTTGTATGGTGGAAACAAAGAGATTTAACTATTATGGGTAAAATACATTTGCTAAAAACTTATGCGCTTTCAAAATTAAATTATATTTCATCTCTCGTTATTGTCCCTCATTGGGTATATAAAGAAGTTGCAAAAATTTCATTTGAATTCATATGGAGGGGGAAAGATAGAATTAAACGGGCAATAATGTATCAGGATTATGACTTTGGAGGATTAAGAATGATTAATTTTGAAATGTCCGTTAAAATACAGCGCATAATGTGGATAAAACGTCTTTTATATGGAGAGAAAAGTTTGGGATGGAAATTGTTTTTTGATCATTGCTTACAGTTTGTGGGTGGTAGATTTATTTTTTTATGTGATTATGATTTAAACAAGATTAAACTCGTTTTAGATATTCCACCATACTATATGGAAATGTTGCAAGCATGGCAAGAGACAAGTAATTTAAGATATTTGGAGGGTTATATTAATCCAATTATTTTTAATAATCAGAATATATGTATAAATGGAAAAAGTATATTTGATAGATACTTGTTTGAAAGTGGGATTGTTCAACTGAATCATTTGGTTGAGAAAGGTCATGTTAAGCCTGTTAAATATTTTATGAACCTCGGTATGAAAGGTAATAATTTGCTTATGATTATTGATATTTATGATGCGATACCCAGGTTATGGAAGGATGATTCAGGGTTAATAGAATTCCTCGAGGTTGATTTGATAAGCTTTAATACTTATTTCCATATTTCTAGTAAAAAAATACAGTTTGTGGATGTGGGTTCAAGAACAATCTATGATTATTTCATCAAAGCACTGCAACGAACGTATGATTTGCAGGTGAGGGATGGGCAAAATGATTATGATTTTATAGATAAAGAATTAAAAGAAATATTTGTTAGACCAAGAATTACTATACTCATTAGAAAACAACGTGAATTTCAATTTAAATTATTGCATGGAGCCATATACACTAATGAGCATCTTCATAGATTTGGTTTTGTTGGTGATAATTTATGTTCGTTTTGTAAGCAGGAAATAGAAACATACAAACATTTATTTTTATCTTGTGGGAGCGTTCAAAGGTTATGGCAGGCTTTAATACAACTTTTTGAGTTAGATGAAATTAAAGATTTAGAATGGCGAGATATATTTGTTGGGTTGGTAGGTAGTTCATATAGAATAAAAAGGTGTAATACTATAATTTTCATGGTGAAGTATGTTACATTTATGTCAAGATCGGGGGGGCGAGTACTAACTTTAGAAAAGATGAAAAAAAGCATTTTTAAGTATAGGGATGAGGAAAAGAAAATAGCAATTAAAATGGGAAAACTAGGATCACATTTCTTAAAGTGGGAGCAGCTTAAGATTGATTAAGATTTGCTTTCTTCTCCACCGTGAGCTTGTTAAAAGCGTAACTCGATTTTGCGGCCTGGATAACTTATTTAGTATATTTTTCTTAAGTTGAGAATGTTGGCAGACATCCACTGAGTGAGTACTGTGTGTGTGTGGGGGGGGGGGTGGGTGGGTGGGTGGGTGAGTATGTGTGTGAGTGGGTGAGTATGTTTGTGTGATAGAGGGTGAGTATGTCTGTGTGATGGAGGGGACAGGGAGGGGGCAGGATTGTTTCAGTAAAATTATCTCCAGATTTGTTTTTTTTTGTAATATATAAGTAAATAACATTTACAATTGACATATTATGTTTAGGTACTTATACGTTTACTTTGTTGCTAAGTTATATTATACTTCAAATAAGTTTGTGTTTAATTATGTTTATGTAAAAGCATCAATATTGAACACGTTTATTTTATTCAATTGTATGTCATGGTTTGTATTACACATCTGGAGAAATAAAACAAAATTGTTAAAAAAAAAATTAAAAAAAAGTGTTCGTGGAGGTGAGGGTGTGCGATTGTATGGGTGAGGGTGTGGGTTCGTAGAGGTGAGGGTGTGGGTTTGTAGAGGTGAGTGTGTGCGATTGTTTGGGTGAGGGTGTGGGTTTGTAGATGTTAGGGTGTGCGATTGTATGGGTGAGTGTGTGGGTTTGTAGAGGTGAGGGTGTGCGATTGTATGGGTGAGGGTGTGGGTTTGTAAAGGTGATGGGGTGCCATTGTATTGGTGAGGTTATGCGATTGTATGGTCGAGGGTGTGGGTTCGTGGAGGTGAGGGTGTGCGGTTGTATGGGTGAGAGGTGGGTTTGTAAAGGTGAGAGTGTACGATTGTATGGGTGAGGGCGTGGGTTCGTAGAGGTGAGGGTGTGGGTTCGTAGAGGTGAGGGTGTGCGATAGTATGAGTAAGGGTGTGGGTTCGTAGAGGTGAGGGTGTGCGATTGTATGGGTGAGGGTGTGGGTTTGTAGAGGTGAGAGTGTGCGATTGTATGGGTGAGCGTGTGGGTTTGTAGAGGTGAGGGTGTGCGATTGTATGGGTAAGGGTGTGCGATTGTATGAGTGAGGGTGTGGG